TCTCAACGTGTACCGTTCTTTTATAAACACTGCGCCTAGCGCTAATGCAGAAGCATCCGTAAACAGTAAAGCCTCACCTTCCAATATTGATGGAGCCAACGAGCGTGCTGGTGTTTGCAACAACCGTTTTGCCCACGAATTCCATTCGATTTGTTCTTCCACTGTTGGTTTGATTTGTTTTGTGGCCGCGGTGCCAATACACTGTGCATTTGCTATCGCTTGCGAGGTCGACCGCGTCGAACGCACCGCATCTAAAACAACAAGATACATTGAAATAACTGATCCCACAAAACGCCTTCGGTCCTGGACCGTTGGTACTACGCTGCGTAGTATTTGCACCTGGTGCAGAGCTTTTTCCACCCGGTGGCTGCTCACGGAAACTGTTCCGACCTTCAAATCAACTTTATATCCTAAAAAGTTTAGCTCTTGAGTCGGCTCAAGTATCGACTTTCTTTTGCGATTGTTATGCCTGCCTTTTCTATGGCATCTTGCAAAAGAGCCTTTGCTCGATTAATCTCCGCCAGACTGTTGGCAAATACCAAACCGTCATCTAAGTACAACACTATGTTAACTGCTTGTTCTCTCAAAGCTTTTACCCACGGGCGGAACATTTTTGTGAACAGCCACGGAGCCGGGGATAAGCCAAAAGGTAAAACCAAAAATTTGTAGAATTTTCTTGCCACTAAAGCCCAGAAATTTTTGTGACTTCGGGTGTATTTTTACGTGATGATAACCCGCCTTAAAATCAAACTTTAGCATGTAGCCACCGGGTGGTAGAACATCTATCACTGATGTCAAATCTTCTAATCGAAAGTTGGTTTTGTGCAAAAACTGATTGAGATAGGATAAGTCCAGAATTAATCTCAATTTTGTTAAATTTTCCGCTACCAGAAGAGGCGACACCCACTCGAGTTGTTGAACCTCGACCCTCTTCAATAGCTCCCGCTCTACTAAACTATTCACCTCTTTTTCCACGAAATTATGATGTTTAAACACACTAGACCTATCTCTTCCCAGGCTTTTTTTGACCAGAGGTGTATGAAAATGAATTTGATAGCCTTTTGAAATTACATCTAACCAAAATTGTGAACACCCTAACATTTTCCAAAAGCCTACTGAGGCACTAAAGTTAATATGAACACGCTCACCACTGTTTGCTGCTTCCGGCACGGCATTGACAGCGGGTGTGACCATACTGATTGCACGCATAGCATTGGATTGGACGTCCTTGTGGCCGGCTGCTAACAGCCCCATATCCATATCGCGACGAAGTGGGTTGCATTGTTTGTTTGAGTTCCTCGATGGCTCGAAGCACATCGTTGTTACCATTGAAATTGCGGGACGGAGGACTGGCAAAAGCTCCGCCCCGTTCAAGAAAGGGCCGCTCGCCAAAAACGCCTCTTCTTCGATGCCGGACCGTTGTTGCTCAGGAGCTTGCTTGCGAGAAGGATTCCTCCGAGCCCTTTGTCACCATCAGCTCCCGTAATAGCTTTAATCTTCTCCGCCGCTTCTGCTAGTTCGAACACCTTTGGATCGTCGTCGGCGGCCACCAACAATGTGTTCCTTTCCTGCAGGCACCGAATAGCTTCTCTGATATTCTCTTCTTCGCCGCTCTCTAGTAGGTTGACGATCTTCAAGTTGAGTTCGACTTGTGTAGCAAACGATTTGGACTTGAGCTTCGGACCGTGTGTCGACTTTGCCAGAATCTTCGCCGTCAGTTTCTGCTCCAGATGTTGCTCCAGTCTGATCAGACTTTCTTGCACATTCGCATCGTCTGCCATTACCTAAAGTTAAAAAATCTTGGCAGAGTAATGCATCGAGTAAAACAAAATTAAGAAACACAACACAGCTTCAGAATGAATAAAATAAACTATAAACTAGATTACGCTACTGAAAATTGTCCAGAATGAAAATTTTTGTGAAAAATTTTCCTTTTAAACACGATTAACCACGAACTAGCCCTTGACGGGTTACGGTAAACAGCTTATAAGAAAAATACCATTTTTGATCCTCTACAACTTTTCCATTGACACCAAAATGGGTTTCTTTTGAAGAAAGTGCTCAAACCGTCACATATGATAATAGCCCGCAGTTTTCAATTCACCAACCCAATATTTGCCCAATGAACTCAAATAAAACAAAAAAACAATTCCGGTGCAACGCAATTCGACCCAGAAACTCAGCCGCGCCCAACCAAAATTCCAAAAACACAAAAACCATCCCGAATCCCATCAATTTTCAGTCGTTTCTTTGCCGTTTCTTTTGATGGTACGCTTTTTCGGTACACATTGAAATGGCCAGTTTTTCAAATATTTGTTCCATTTATTTACCGATTTTCATTATTGCTTTTGCTCTATTCAAATGATTTTGCATTATTTATCATAGTTTGGAATCAGGCGCACTCAGCGGTGAGTTTAAAGAGTACGTTGTTCAGAAACTAGCATTTTTTTGAAGAATAAGCCAAGCATCCTTTTTGCCAATTAAAAATAAAAATGTATCACGAATTGGAGTGCAGTTTAAGTCATTTTAAGGGAGCCCAAAGATGGCTGTTGTTCTTTTGTGACGCTTTTTGTGAATACCACCGGTACCTTCAGTTGTATGGGCCGTATTTTTTGATGTGCTCTTTGGATTTTGTGACGAATTGCAAACTGAAAAAGGTTTAATTATTTGAACCTGTTTTTGATGGTGATGATACTTTTAGTTAAGAAAATCAGGAAAAGCGACAAGAGCTGAAACTCTTCTCATGTATCAAGTGAGTTTTTTAAAATTAGCCTTTTTAGACGTGGGCTTGGGCTTTATCCAGGTCCTTCCAGGTCTAGACCAAGCCAGGTTTTCCTCTATGGCAATACCACATAGACTTGGCTTTTGAAAAGCTTTTGAAATGAGGCTTTTGAAAGCAATGCTGCTCATATCACCATCCAAATCACGTTGCATTCAGATGTGCATCAATTCAGCCTTTGTTCTCGCTGAAACCATGTTGATGTGTCTCGTTTACTTCATTTTAAATACAATTGCTGGTGGGCTCACGGTGTTTGTCATGCTGCCGACGGTTTTGATGAACCAGAATTTACTGTTCGTTTTTCTTTCTAGGTCAGTGCAAATTATTGAATTATTGAATAACAAGTGCAATTATTGAATAACAAGTCTCAATCGCTCATTTTGCATCATCAGCGCTATTTTTCTGCGTAAACGAAAAGAAAACCCCCGAAGCCAACGAGTGATACAAGTACTATCAAATGCCTAATAAAAACAATTCAAAAACAAATGACAAAATCAAAAAGGCAATTCAAAAAGGCAACAAGCAATTAAGATTTAAAAATTTATATCTTAGTCTGTTGAGAAAACCTTTCTCTTGTTTAGAATTTCGTATGTGAGGAAGATTGCTTTAGTTCTTGTTTAGCTTTGTTTCTTGTTTAGCTTCTTGTTTAGCTTTGCTTTGTAAATCTCTCAAGATATCGAACAGATGTATACGAGTGTTATATATCATTCGAAAGCTGAAGATCTCCTCTACATTTTGGAATAAAAAATTTTTTGAATTTGTTCAGCTTTTGGGCAAATTGACTGCACAAAGGGAGAGGTCGTTTTCGAAAAAAAACCCATTCCAGCTTAGCTATTCCTCAAGTTTTATGGTGTAAAATAACCGCCCAGAAAAGAAAAGAAAAGTAAAGATGCTCTGAAATTGTTATATTTTTTAAAAAGTTGTATTGATATATCTATTGGCCAAACATCAAACGGTTAACTCAATTTGAGCGGAGCCAAAACTTGATCCAAAGGCACCCTTCCATTTTTTGGCCACCTCTTCTTCTGTGCAGTCAATTGGCCCAAAAGCTGAACAAATTCAAAAACTTTTTATATCAAAATGTAGAGGAAATCTTCAGCTTTCGAATAATACTCATATATAGCTTTTTCTTGATTTCGGTATCTTGAGAAATTTGCAAAATAGTAAAAAACGCGCATTCATAACTGGACAACCCAATAGGGAAGCTTTAGGGAAGCTTTAGGTAAGCTTTAGGTAAGCTTTTAGGTTAGATTACTAAATGCAGCCATCGAATCTCATTCATTACTTCTTTCAACTCAAAATCGATCCCAAGCATTTGACTCTCCGCATCTAATAGAATCTAAGTTTTACGGTATTCTGAAAAATTTAAAATGCGAAATAAGCTCACCGATCCGAATTTGATAGTTCATTTATAGTTTTTTTGATGGTTTATAATAAATGTTAATGTACAATAAATGTTATTTAGTTAAAAATTTGTCTTTTTTGCTCTTGTCTGCCTTAAAATCAGAACTTGATCTTGTTGTGACAATTATGGCAGTAGTACTGTGTCACATTCGCTCAAAAATGCTCCTTCACTTTGTTATGACTAAAGGCTTTGACCAAAAATACATCAAGTTAAAACATTAAAAGTTAAAACAAAGTTTTTGTATCACTTAAAAATCCCAATCACATCCATTACATTACAAATTCAACCCTTTAAAATTACTGTGTCACATTCGCTCAAAAATGGATTACAAATTACAAATTCAACAAAGCCAATTCATGTCCCAAAATAAGATTTCTACATTGGCACGGTCTATTTTAAGCCTCTTTCACATCATAAACAACCAAAGTTCTTTTAAGTTGTTCTAAGCTTAACATCACTTAGCCAAAGTTTTTTCAAAGCCTCACAAAAACATCGAAAGCTGTTATGAGTAAAGGCGCTGACCAAAAATACATCCAGTTAAAACATTAAAAGCTTTTGTATCACTTAAAAAGCTCAATCACATCCATTGGCGATTACAAATTCAACAAAGCCAATTCATGTCCCAAAATAAGATTTCTACATTGGCACGGTCTATTTTAAGCCTCTTTCACATCATAAACAACCAAAGTTATTTTAAGTTCCTCTAAGTTTAACATCACTTAATTCAGCTGTGTTCAAAATTTAGAAATAGATCTTTTTTCCTTTCAATTCTCTTTGAATCTTTCAATTTATCTCACAAAAAAGTTTGTGAAAAAGATGAAAATCTTTCAATTCGTTCTTTTAATTTTCTCGATTTCATTTGGCTTGGAAGCAATGGTGGGTGAAAGAAAAATAAAAGATTTAGGTCATAGCTTGCTTAAACTTTATTTTCTTAAACAGTAGTTACCGTAAATGCTGTAATGGAGTGACCCCCTATAGGAGCGTCGTGTAGTCTAAGTTTACACTCAAAGCATCGCCCACATCTCGGCGCCCAGACATTTGTTTCAGTGTGCTTAGGTATCAAATTAAAGTAGAGAGAATCCTTGATTTTTTTAGATATAACACATATTTATAGCATTAACCAACGCTTAGAGAAAAATGATTGAAAAGTGCAAAAAAGGCCAATTTTTTTATCATTTTTCAATCATCTTTTTCTAATCGCTGGTGAAAGCTGAGAATATGTTTTATATCTCAAAGAATCACCCATTCTCTCTACTTTAATTTGATATCTAAACGCGTAGAAACAAACGTACTAGTGTCGAGATATGAGCAGTTCTTTGAGAGCAAACTTAGACTCTTTAGGAGCGTCGCGTCGCATAGTCTAAGTTTACTCTCAAAGAGCTGCTCATATCGCGACACTAGTACGTTTGTTTCTACGCGTTTAGATATCAAATTAAAGTAGAGAGAATGCGTGATTTTTTGAGATATAACACATATTTATAGCATTAACCAACGCTTAGAGAAAAATGATTGAAAAGTGGCAAAAAAGGCCAATTTTTTATTATTTTTCAATCATCTTTTTCTAATCGCTGGTGAAAGCTGAGAATATGTTTTATATTTCAAAAAATCACCCATTCTCTCTACTTTAATTTGATACCTAAGCGCGCTGAAACAAATGTCTGGGCGCCAAGATATGAGCGGTGCTTTGAGTTTGAACTACAGGACACTCCTATAGGGAGGCTACTATTACAGCCTTTACGATATTTTCTTTTAGAGCTTCCCCCAAGTCTTTCTGCAAACACCAAATCTAGACCGAGAAGTGTGTAAGTGAAAAAAATACAATTAAATTCTCAGAATTGTCTGATTTTTCTGTTTAAGATTGTGATGCTAGACTTGAAAAAGCCTTTTTCCTGACTCCAAAGACACGTGTGATGTTGAGAAATTATCAAGCAAGTGAAGGACCAAAAAAAGATTGTGTGGTGAACATGGAAGGGCCTGTGAAGCTGACGTTTAGCTTTGTCACGAAAAAAGATGAAGTGAGTTGCCCTAGGATCATTGTATTTTCTTGTATTTTCTGTATTCTTTTCTTGTATTCTTCCTCTTATTTTTTCTCTAAAATTGAGTTTAAAAAAATAATGGCATACCTTGAATAGAAGCCGCTAACAAATCGTAAGGGCAGAATAAGGTTTTGAGATGACACAATAGGCCAAGGTAGGTCAACTGACGTGCCCAATAATAATCGTGAGCTCATCAATGTACCTGGAGCAATGTACAATGTACAATGTACCTAGAACAATGTACAATGTACCTAGAGCAATGTACAATGTACAATGTACCTGGAGCAATGTACAATATACAATGTACCTGGAGCAATGTACAATGTACCTGGAGCAATGTACAGTGTACAATGTACCTGGGGCAATGTACAATGTACAATGTACCTGGAGCAATGTACAGTGTACAATGTACCTGGGGCAATGTACAATGTACAATGTACCTGGAGCAATGTACAGTGTACAATGTACCTGGGGCAATGTACAATGTACAATGTACCTGGAGCAATGTACAGTGTCAATGTACCTGGGGCATGTACAATGTACAATGTACCTGGAGCATGTACAGTGTACAATGTACCTGGGGCAATGTACAATGTACAATGTACCTGGGCTGTACAGTGTACAATGTACCTGGGGCAATGTACAATGTACAATGTACCTGGAGCAATGTACAGTGTACAATGTACCTGGGGCAATGTACAATGTACAATGTACCTGGAGCAATGTACAGTGTACAATGTACCTGGGGCAATGTACAATGTACAATGTACCCGGAGCACGACTTTTAGTAGAGTGTGTTCCTCGCGAGTAAGTAATTACTCAAGTAAAATTTGCATGAGCAATCTCTACTCGATTGATCGCCGTTTTTTGTTCGAGTAACTATAAGTAACTCGAGTTCGAGTAACGAGTATCCTCTTTACACGTCGAGTAAATTGAATATCTTTACATTTGAAGGGAATTTGCCACCAAATCAGTTGAACGGTTGAATATCTTTAAAAGAAGTCGTATATAAGGCGGCGCTCCTGATTTTTACGCCAACTTTCTTGCAATAACTTTCGCTAAACGGTAATTTTCCCTAAGCGTGCGTTTTAAAAAAGGCATTACTTGCGAGCAATACACTCTAACTTCTAAGCAATATGCATTTTATCAGTGTATTCAAATGTATCTAGTCAAAAATAACAATGTTTTCAGTGTAACACTTATGTGATCGTGAAAGAAGCGCAAACCGAAGCCGATTTGGCTGGACAAGTCGGCAAAAAACTCTGCAGTAATGGTATTTTTCTTGCAACATATTCTCTTGAACATAAAAAATGACTTCTTTTTTACTTCACCATATATTTTTAGTCTAATCTCACCTACCGTAAATACCGTATTCTCTCTAATAGTAGTGCACCGCGCCGAGCCGAGTTGATGACAATTTTACAGTTCCCAAGCTTTCACAGAAGCTCAACACTCAAATCCCCCACTAGATCTCATCGTCAGCTACATTTTCCGACCCCACATCGATAGGTTCTGATAAGCGGTTCTCGAGTTTCGAGCAATTTAGGCGAAGCTTAGGGTGCACTACTATTAGAGAGAATATGGTACTCTAATAGAAGCACAAGCGCTTCTCATTTTTCCCTCCTCTGCGGTGTGCTTCTATTAGAGTATTTACGGTGATTTGAAATCAAATCTCAACTTTTATCAATGCCTAAAACCATTTTCAGAGATAACGCCATCAACCGAAGTGGCCATCTCGCACCCTTGGTCGCAGTGTCTTCTTTACTCTGGGGAGTTCAATTCTTTAGAATTCTATGCTGAGATTTTATAAAATTTGACAATCAAACGATGCTCCCATAATTCCAAATGAAAAAAATGCACAGTGTACAGCAAAACAATAGAATAGTACAATAACAATAACAATAGAACATTAGAGCAAAGTTTCTCAAAGCAAAGCAAGAATTAACAAAATAGTGTAGCATCAATAGCATTCCATGCATTGCTTCATTTTGCGGAGATGGAAAACCGAAAAGCCGAATACTACCGGACACCAGGCCGAGTAGACAGCCGAGCAGACCACCCAATCATATGGATCATCGCGAATTGAGTGATAGATGACATCCTGAAGCCATACGATCTCAGCCACTACCTAAAACTTAAAGAAACGTTTAGACTTGCTATTAAATCCGATTTTAAGTTAAGTTTTCCAATAAAGAGGCTTGTGAAGACGGAGATTCATTAAGACATTCATTAAGACATTCATTAAGACATTCATTAAGACAGAGTTGCTTCTTTACTTTCTCTAATTTCTTGAGTTAGTTCAAAGTAATCCTTTTTAAGATTTGCCTTTATTTAGAGGTTTTTCTTCGCTTTTGCTGAAGAAAATACCAAGTGATATGATAAAATTAAACAAATAACTAGCTAAAACAAACAACAAACAAACAACAAACAAACAAACAACCTTATTTACTACCGTAAATACTGTAATAGTACCCGACCCCCATAATGACGGTGCGGAGCGTTGCGTAGTCTGGCTTTGAACGAGTTTTTCTCGACACTAGTTTATGCTACAATGCGCGCTTAGATATCAAAAAATAGCTGAAATTCAGGGCTATTTTTTGATACCTAATTGCGCATTGTGGCATAAACCAGTGTCGAGCAAAACGCGTCCAAAGCCAGACTACGCAACGCTCCGCACCGTCATTATGGGGGTGGGGTACTATTACAGTATTTACGGTAGGTACTTGCTTAGGATTTCACTAAGATTCCACTGTTTTCTTCCTTCTTTCGTTAGATAGGCTACCAAGTAGATGATGAAAGATATCAGCAATCGTTTCTTCTTCAACATCATCGCATAGATGCCGATCACCGAGAAAATCATATAGGAAAAGTGGACGACGATTGTCCAAAAGAAGAGATTCAACGCTTGGAGAAAACCATGGGCGAACCAGTCTTTTAATTGACTGAATTGCACTTTATCAAATGAAAATACCAGCTTCTCATACCCAATATTCACCCAGTTGATCATTGCCCAAACGATTGCCAAAATGATATTGTAGGCGGTGAGGAAGACAACAATAATTGCCTAAAAATGAAAGCGATAATATCGCTTAGTTATGTCTATTAGTTAAGAAGATTAAACTCAAATGTAAAGCTATGCCAATAAGACAAAACTTGTACTTCCTACTGCAGTAGTATCTAAAAAAGATTTACGTGGCTTTAAATCTCATGTTTCAAATGCAAATGTTTCAAAAGATCAAGTACTTTGCTCGGCACAATGAAGAATTTAATCATTTGGCTTTTGGCTTTTGCCTTTTGAAATAAGTACACTGCAGTGTACTTATTTCACTGCGCGAGAGAGCCGAACCAACAACCCCATACTTTGGCGCGGGATTCACGTCGCGCGCCTTAGACCACTCGGCCACGGTTTGCCCTTATGTTGTTGAGTTGAGCAAATTTGATGATTTTTGCATCAAAATGTTCGTAAGAGTCTCTAGAATAAAACTTATCCCTTCGTTTTTGGTTCTAGACCCTCGTTGTCGAGTTACGAGCTCCAAACTGCAGGGTACCACAAAATTTCCCATACAAAATGACCAAAAAACCGCTAAAACTAAATTTTAAAAATTTCTGTCAGAGGGATTTGAAAAATTCCTTCAGATTCGGAATCAGCACAATTTGCCGCATCTAAAAAAGGTACTCCCAGAAAAATCCGATAGAAAACGCATTTTCGCGCCGATGTGCACTGTACAGGACACGTATAAAAAGTTAATAGTTTTCGGATTATACGTCAAAATCCCATCGGAATCAACACTATAATAGGGATAATATACGTAGAATGGGAGATTTCTGCGCTTTGCACAAAGTTTGAAAGAATTTCAGCACGAAGCTCTTTGTAAATGTTATTTGATTTTTGAGTGAGACGGGGTTACACTACAGAGCACGCCAAAAGTTCCCGTACTTGTATTTTCTGCATTTTTGGTAATTTTAGATAAAAGATACGATTTTAAAAGTAAGGAATTCGAATTCCTCGCGAAAAACTGATTTAGAAAACGTTTCTGGTTAATTTATAAGTGCAAATAGGAACCAAATAGGAACCAAATAGGAACTACAAAGAACTAAATAGGAATCAGATCAGGATCAAATAGGAGCCAAATAGGAACTACAAAGAGCTAAATAGGAACCAAATAGTGTATTTAAGACAAGTGATTGAGAAGAGGGTCCGCTCAGGGACGCTTTGGCCGCATTCGTTGCCTAACTCACTTTATGTGCTCTTCTCGTCTTCACCCAGCCACCCTCTTGCAGAGGCTAAAATCTATTGCTTCTTAAACAAAAAAATAGCATACACATCGATGTGGCGGTTTCGAATTAGGCGCTTGCGGATATTCAGCGATTTCCCAATTGTAGCTGCCTTTATAGTGAGGATCTAAAGATAAAATAACATTCATTTCTAATTCAGATGATATGGATAGAGCATTTTCCATTTTTTCTTCTCAATTTTACGAAACAAGTAAAAAACTATCGAGCTAGATCAAATCTGTTTTAAAAACTTTGAACTGAGACCAATTTTCTGAGATTTGAAGTAGTGAACAGCATTTAGAGAAATGAGAGAATCCATAAGGTGTAAAAGGTGCGCCATAATTGTCACAACAAGGTATCACCCGCGTTCAAGGACAATAACTCATTGATTTTAGCTTCATTTAGAAGGGGCAGAAAAGGCGAAAAACTTAATAGAAGATCACAAAGATGTGAAAAAAAGGAAAAAACGTGGGGTAGGCTAATTTCTACAATTCCTTTTGCGCAACAGGGTCATTTGCGCAACTCGCCATAACTTTCTTCTAAGTGGACCAATTTTTATGATTTTGGTTTCCTTTTGTAGATTCTTTTGTAGATTCGTTCGTAGATCTTAATAAGTGCAAAAAAAAATGAAACCAAAATCATAAAGATTGGCCGACTTAGAAGAAAGTTATGGCGAGTTGCGCAAAAGACCTAGTTGCGCAAATGACCCAGTTGCGCAAAAAATTTGGCGCAAAGTAGCCTATCCCAATTTTGCCAATGGCTGCGCACAGATGGACGAATAGACAGACGAATAGACGGACAGACAGCTTTCAATTATATATAGTATTAGGTTGGTAAAAAAGAAATGCGCGTTTTCGTTAAAAGTTTGTTTTATTATAAAAACAAGATAACAATACATTAATCCAAAAGGTATTTGCCATCTGCATCAATGACTTGTCGCCAACGTTCACGCAGAGAATGGATGCCCTTCTTGAAGAACTCGACCGGCTGCGACTCGAAGAAGTTGGACCTCGTCGCGGTTCTTGAACTTTTTCTCGGCCAAGGAGTGGTGCTGATCGGAACAGATGGTAGTCGGAAGGCGCCAAGTCTGGGCTGTATGGCGGATGAGGCAGGACTTCCCAGCCCATTTCTTCAATTTTCTGCTGGGTGATTTTTGCGACATGCGGCCGAGCGTTGTCGTGGAGGAATTTTGTCCACGCCGTACCCACACCTTGACGTCGCAGCGCCTGGTCCACGCGGTCCAATTGGCCTTGGTAGAGGCTCGCCGTAACTGTTTGACCCGAATCCAGAACCTCAAAGTACACCAGGACTTTACTGTTCCACCAAACACAAAGCATCACCTTTTTTCCGTGGATGTCCGGTTTTGGAGTCGGTTTTGGAGCTTCACCGGGGGTCCAACCACTGCCGCTTTCTTGCTCTGTTGTCGTATTGGATCCATTTCTCATCCGACGTAACAATGGAGTCGAAAAGCCCACTGTTCTTGGCGCGGTGAGTGAGAATTCCGGCGATTGCGATGCGTGTCGCCTTGTTTGCGTCGGATAGCTTATGCGGTACCCATTTTCCGCATCTATTCGCCTTGCCCATGCCATGCAGATGGTTCTCAATGGTGACATGAGTGCAGCCGAACTGTTCTGCCAGGTCGCGACTGGTTTGGCGTGGATCCGACTCAATGGCTTCCTTCAATGCGTCGTTGTCGATGATTTGAGGTCGACTCCCGTGTTTTTGGTCTTCCAAGCTTTCGTTGCCGTCTCGGAAGCGCTGGAACCATCGTTTACACTGACTTTCGGATAGAGCATCTTCGTCAAACACTTGAGATAGAGCGCGATGAGCTTCAGCAGCCGATTTGCCTTGCTTAAATTCATACCACAGGCAGGCCCGCAAGCGAAATTTTTGGTCCGACATTTTCTAAACACTCTTTCTTGTAAAAAAACAAAGTAAACATAGACAAATTATATATCAAACGATGCGCAAGAACACGCTCTTTCCAATAGAATAAACTATTTAAAAAATCTTTTACTGTGAATAAAATACAAATCAACAAACACGACGCTCATTTCTTTTTTACCAACCTAATAGATAAGGATGGAGTAAAAGCATAAGTATAATAACTAAGATCTTCTAATAAGCAAGAATGTATCACCACTTTTTTTTCCCATGTCTTATTGAGATCTACAAAATGAAACCAAAATCATAAAGATTGGCCGACTTAGAAGAGAGTTATGGCGAGTTGCGCAAATGTCCCTGTTAAGCAAAAAAAAAATAATAGAAATTACCACCCCATTTTAGACTCCTAAATGCATTTTTATTACAGTTTTTCATTGTTTTTCCAAGGTTTTTAGTGTTTTCAAGGTTTTTCTTTATGCAATCCTTGTAAAGGAGAATGAAACTCGTCGATTTGCATATGTCGTGGCTCTAGAAAATCACTTTTGAGGCCGAAGTACCCCTTTAATGTCTACAGAAATTCTCATGTTTTGTGTAAACAAGCCTAAGAGGCACAAGGAACTATGGAGAACTTCTGAAAGTCTTTGCATAACATTCTGTTATCACTAACGGTACGTATTATGATTGACTGAATCACTTTATGTACATACCGGATGTGGATGAGCTCGTCGGATAGTCGTAATGCCCATCAAATGATTCCATTTTTCGTCCGCAAACTTCAACAAGTTTGCAAAAAGACGGAGATCAAAATGTTTCCATTACTCTTTTATAAAAAGTGATAAGGGTTAGTGTTTGTTTTTGTCATCACTGACAAGTTGATGACAAAAGCATCACTGTTGAGTCTTTTTTCCTTTTTTGATAAGGGCTCACATGGTTTCCTTTTTGGTGGGGTAGAAGTTAGGATAAATGTGGCGACAAAACAAAGGAAAGCTCGTTGCTATACGGGATGACAACAGATGAAAATACCAAAATTCTTCTAGGTCAAAGTGCTTAACTTTGCACCGGAGTTATAGCAGAGAATCACTAGCAAACTTATTGAAAAAATATTGAAATATTGCCAAAATGATTGCGTCTATAAACGTAATACGCATTTTTACTTAGAAAAACGCTCTGTAGATTGAATTTCATTATTGGTACCCAAAATTTTGAAGTAATTTTCTGAATCTGTATATTTGAATTGACTAATTCAATTTTGAGGATTTATAATATTCTTTATCATATCATTATAACTGGCTAATTCGGTTCAGGCAAGTGTTTTGACTAATATATTAGGTACATGCATAAGAAATGTGGATTTCAACATTTTCATAAATTTCCAATGATAGAAACCTGATATCGATGAATGTTTTAAACTATTTGAAAGTTGTAAATCTCCTCTACAAAATAGGCTAACACGTGTTTCAATTGATTGAACCATTGAAGAAATTTCGAGGCCAAAATGCGAGTGATCAAAAAAGGCCACTTTTTCAAAACCCCACTTTCACAAGAGTTCGGTTTTGACTATATAGTAGAAAATGATGGCCCTAAAATCATTATCCTTAAAATATCATTGAAAATAATTAAGAGTTGGGATCATTACATGGAAAAACTTTGTTCTTACAATAATTTTTGTTTTTTGTGAAAAAACCGGTTTTTTTCACAATTTTGAGGGTTTTGAACTTACGCTCTATCTAAATTTTATCTAAATGCATTTCCGTTAGGCTTTTTTAATGAATTGATATATAGTTATCCTTTTCTTTTTAAATCTTCAATTTTGGGAAGCTAACTCTATTTTTTGGCCACCCTAAACTTGTCCCTAAAGTGACTCGATTCCTTTTGTGGTCACTCGCATTTGGGCCTCATATCATATTTGAAAAAAGATCGTCACTTTCGCGCGTCTGTAACTCCATTGTCTTTACCGTATTTCTAAATATTAATATTACCATTGTGTAGCCCTTGAAAAGAGCTTTCAGAAAATGTATAACACTAATAGTTTAAACTCAAAGACAGGGGAGTTACAGACGCGCTAAAGTGACGATCTTTTTTCAAATATGATTGTCCAGTACATTCATATTTCATTATCCAGTACTGTATATAGTTATCCTTTTTTTAAATCTTTAATTTAGGAAAGCTGACTCCATTTTGACCACCCTAAACTTGTCCCTAAAGTGACTCGATTCCTTTTTTGGTCACTCGCATTTGGCCCTCGAAATTTCTTCAATGGTTCAATCAATTGAAACACGTGTTAGCCTATTTTGTAGAGGAGATTTACAACTTTCAAATAGTTTATAACATTCATCGATATCAGGTTTCTATCGTTGGAAATTTATGAAAATGTTGAAATCCGCATTTCTTATGCATGTAGCTAATACCTTTTTATATTAGGTTGAGGAAAAAATAATGTCGGTTTTGAATTCCCGTTTTTGGCAATCTTCCAGTTCTTTGCTTATGCGGAAGACAGCATTAGCGAAAGACAATGCCAAAGATGATTTCAGCGGTTCACAGATGGAAATGAAAGTCTCCAAGACGAGGAACGGTCTGGACGATCAAAGGTCAACTCCCACAACCAAAACCGACATTACTTTTTCCTCAACCTAATATTTATAAGCCATTTGATTGGGAAAGTTGACGTGAACTGAGATTGTAGGAGAAAAAATTGATGAATCTCAAACCTCTCTCTCAAGGCTCTCTCTAAAATTCTCTCAAAATCTCTCCAATTTTTTCTCTTCCAGAAATTTCCTGTTTACGAGAAATGATTCCGAGAAAGCCACAATAAAAAGCAACCAAAAAAAACTATAAACAATCGGAGAAGATTTGATTGCACACAATGGATAATAGGCCTTTCTAATGAAGCGAATTGTTGATGAATTGGTGAATTCTTCATTTATAAACGCTTGTAGAAAAAAGTGTCCAAAGTCTTATGGGTTAACTTGAAACTTTGTTTAAATAAATGTTTATGTACATACCAGCTAAAATAAATGATAATCCTCGTTAATAACATTCAATGCACAAATTCATATAGTAAATGTGAAGCCGAAAGAGGATGAGCAAGGTGAAAAACCACAGTGCTTGCATCAGGGTGATCACTGTTTTTGAGAATGGATCATCGTGGACGAGGTGGTAGATCATTTGGCTCACATCAAGGGAAAACATTAAAGCCTAAATTTTTTCGGGGTATTTTGGTGGTTGGAGATCCGTGCGAAAATGCGTTTTCTATAAGATTTTCTATAGGACTAATTAATACAACTTTGCTCGCAAAAAGACCGCAGACAGCATTTTGACAAAGTCTACTCCCTGGCCTTTCCTAATTTTTTGTTATCATCGAGTAGTGGAGGGCCAAATGCAAGTGAGCAAGTGAGCCAAATGCAAGTTTCTGTGTAAAATGACCGATTTTTGTTGATAAAATGCGATTTTTAAAAAATATACAAGACGGATTTTGATGATTTTTCCACCATTGAATTCAGCACATTTTTCTGCGTCAAATGGCTATTCAAACGTAAGAATCCTATGGAATCTGAAGGAGTTTCCTAGGGTTTCAAAAGCAAAAACTCAAAAAAAAGCCTTCTTTGCTGAGAGAATCCCCCGTTTTTCTGGGATTATTTGACCTCAAAGCCGTTACGTTTACGGGAAGTGGACTTTGTCGAAAATAAAAAAGTCAAAGTTGGGTTCATTTTGTGCAAAAATTGCGATAGGACTTTGTCTTATTAATCGGTCTGGAAATGAGGAATTTGGGTGGGCTTTTTAAGCGTAAATCATTTCATTGAATTGGCTTTGAAGTGTCATTTTTGTAGGTACGTCAAGTTTTGATGACCGTAAACCTGGAGCTAAAAGCTCGGCTATTCCGATTTTCTTTGGTTATCGGACATTTAATACGTGCCCCGACCCCTTTGCCACTGGCAATCTAACTTTGAACTCAAATATCTTGATGTTACGCTGATTCTTGGTATCATTGGACACGCCATGTCTTTTTCTATCGATTGATACAAAAGCTATTTAAATTGGACTGCCCAACAGCAAGATATTGGAGCTCAAACTTAGACTGCAAAAAGGGGCCCGGGCCGGTATAAAATGTTTGTCGCCCCGTCCCCTTTGCCATTGACAACCCAACTTTGAGCTCAAATATCTAGGCGTTGGGCTGTTCAATTTAAATACTCTTGGTATCATTGAATGCGCCGAGTCTTTCTCTGTCGATTGTTACAAAAACTATTTAAATTGGACAGCCCAACACCAAGATATTTGAGCTCAAAGTTAGATTGCCAATGACAAAACGGGGCGGGGCGCGTATACAAGTTCTCACAATCTTATTTCTAGCCTTGCTGACGCATAAACACCAAAGCTAGGCTATAAATCGGATAAAGCAAGATTTCTGGCTTTGCCTGACCCGATGAATCAATGGCAAAGGGGGCGGGGCGCGTATAAAAGGTCCGACGCTTTTCCTAAACGCTTGACAGCATGCTCGACTAAGAATGGTGATAGCTTTGAATTTAATTGTTAATTTATTGTTCATTGATATCAAAAGATTTTAAAACAAAAGTTTGCTCTCTAAAGTTTAATCTTGTCTACCAAAAAAGCTTTTTATCTGCACCTATAATTATGGGCCACCCTGTAAAGCCAGCACGTTAAAAAGGCAGCTTTTGTAAATGTAAATGCAAATTTAAAAAGTCTCACCAAATGCACCATGACTCCGACAATCATTTTTCGCCTTTTAAAGAGAATCGCGTAAGTTCCGGCAGAGCACGAGACAATGGAGGTCAAAAAGACGATGTTGGCGATCAAATTGTGAATGGCATTGTAAGGAGCGGTGGAGAACGGGAAATATCTGCAAGAGGCCAGTTTGGATGTGATCAATAGTGAAGAGAATCGGTTAGTGCCAAAACCTTTACTAAAATCTTACTTATCATTCCGAGGATGCATCAATGACCAAAATGTAGCCAGCACTACCACCAAAGCCGACGAGAAAGCAATAATAAACCCCTAGAAATTCTAAATGTTTGAAATCCTTTAGAATAAACCTTGTGAATGATGCGAACCCTTGGCCAGGCGCTTTTTTGAATTTTCTGAATGCTTTCAGTTTCAGTTTCAGTTCATTGAGAAGATTTACTCTTACACAGATATGGTCGGGCATTTGTGGAAGCGTGCTGCTTTGACATTGCTCCACATCGAGGATGAGATTTTGTTCAGCGCCTAAAGTTTTCAGCTTATACAGCAACGAGAAGACGATAAGAAATGCCTAAAAGCTGAGCTGTCATATTGCTTATGGACAAAAGTCTTGGCGGCTCCTAGGTGGCAACTTTCAAACGCGAATTTATCAACCTTTCCGAGAGGCTATAAAAAAAGTTTTCACAAGTATTTTTAAGCATTTCTACTCTACTTTTAGCTATGATCAAGCATTGAACTCGAAAGTTTATTTTAAACAACAAAAATGAGCGTAAACGATAAAAAGGTCACAAAAAGGTGCTTTGACATTGTTCTACATCGAGGATGAGATTTTGTTCAGCGTTTTCAGCTTATATAAAATGATGAACTGTACCTTCACAAGTCTCATCTTCGACATTGACATAGCCACGATTTCTTGAGCCTAAAAATAAGAACAATTAGTGTAAAGTTCTTCTAGAACATTGTTGAGATCAAGTTTGACTCTCAAAGATTACAGAATATTTGGCTTGGTCGATGAATTTGGCGGCGAAAGACTAAGCCAGCTACTTAGTTTGGACTTAGAAAAATTTCCAAGTCAATGCGCTGTTCCCAATGTTGTGGAGAGGGATGTTTGGTTGCTTTGATTGTGAGATGCGGGAACGCGTAGCACAGGAATGTGAGCTACTGCTTTAGCTGTTGAAAGGCTTCAGCGACGTAGCGACTACTCTCAGCCTGTTCATTCAGGTTGGTTGCTTGCAACGTGTTTGGTGACTATCTGTATCGTGGTGCCAAAAGCGGAAAGGATTTTCGACGTTTCTCTCTGAGAGATCGCAACTTGTTTTCATATCTGGTTGATCCTGCCAGTGACGATATGCTCATGTTAAAGACTAAGCCATGCATATCTTAGTTCAGCCCTTTTACGGGTAGACTGTGAACGGCTCATTATATCAGTTAAAATCCTCGCGAAATTAGTATTTTGGCTTAGCTAATACAAGCTAATACAAGCCATGCATATCTTAGTTGCATATTGGTCGATTCTAAAGTAATGTAGAGTATATAGATAGCTACTTTAACAAGCTACGTAACCTAGTTGTCAGTAAAGATCTGATAAACTCCATTTTGGTATCATTGAGTGATCATAAACCTTGTGATCTTCAATTATGCAACCAAAATCGGCCTAATTGAATGAAAACTGTGATTTGATTATACTTTAGATAACCAATCAACTGTTTGATAATCCAAGAAGCCCAAGAAGAAGCCCAAGAAGTTCAAACGTATTGCAAGTTAGCCAAGTCAATTTTTAATTGATTTAATTGATTAACAAGTAAAAAAACAAGTGTTACCTGTTATATTTCTTGTAAAGTTCTGCATGTTCGCATAGCTTTCCATAGCTTTTCTTGGGGAATAGAGCAAAAGTGGTTTGCTGCTTTGAAAATTCCCAGCTAGCTATCATTAATCGTTACGAGATGTTGTTATTGTCTTCAAAATTTTATCAAAAACTTTAAAAACAAAGTGATAACTCTTTTGAACATTGTTTACTATTAGCTTTTGTTATTTAAAACATTTTTGCCTAAATTTTTGTTTTCAGAGCTGTAATGACGATTGGTTTTGCAAAACTGTTTAGCTCTGGGCCGTTTTGGTCTATGACTTGTTTGTATTAAGTAACATCGTGCATTGTAGCATTGTACATTGTAGCATTGCACATTAAGTAGCATTGTACATTGTATTCAATAACATTTATCGCATAAAGTCAAATAATAGATATGAATTCGTACAAAGTATAGAATAGCCAACAACCAAACAATTTCAACAATGATTATAACCATTGTCTCGTAGAGAATTAAGTTGACGACATGGTAAGCGATGTGTAAGATGTTGAGAAAAACGGCGACAATCTGAAAGAGAACATTGAATTAGGTTAGACAGAGCTTTGCGAAGTGAATTTGACCTTTTGCAGAGCACAGGTTGAAGCTTAAGCTCCGTTTTGGGAAGCAAGCACATTACTAAGGTGATCTGGGTCTCTAGTTCATTATATATGTCGTAGCCGATGAAGGATTTCAGCCGAAGAAGTCTCAGACTGTCGTAGCCGAAGAAGTCTCAGACTTCTTCGGCTAGCCGATTAAGGCCCAGACTTCTTCGGCTAGCCGATTAAGGCTCAGACTTCTTCGGCTAGCCGATTAAGGCTCAGACTTCTTCGGCTAGCCGATTAAGTCTCAAAAATGAAATCTTGAGTTATGTATTGACTCAAGTCAATACCACAAATTCAAGCTCTCTAAAAGGAGCTTAGAAGCTAAAAATGCATTCTAAAGAGCATGCATTTTATCATACTGTGACCAAAGGCTCTAAAAGGGCCCTTTTCGTCATTCGTCCTTCCTCAAAGGCACGGATTTAATCGATCTTCAATCCGTTCCCGATGGAGAATTCAAGTTTTTGATGGTCTACCAGGATCATTTCACAAAGTTCGTCGTTTTGCGGGCATTGCAAAGGAAAACACAATTTGAAGTTGTGGAAATGGAAATATTCGGAACGTTTGGAGCCCCAAAAATTCTTTAGTCCGACCACGGAAAGGAGTTCGCCAACAGATTGGTAAGCTTTTACTTTTGTGTCCTATCGAATTTCTTGCGGCGAGCTCATTCCGAAGGCCAGTAAGGGTTAAAAATTAGCTCTAGCCAAAAATCTTTAATGTATTAATGTATGCTAAGAATTAGAGCTTTTAAATGGTCTACAATACATGCTACTTTCTGTAGAAAGTTTTTTTGGAAAAGAATAGGTTTCAAAAACTAGTTACCATAATTGTGGATGTACAAAAGGATGATTTTCTCAAAAACCAAAAGCGTTGACAGTTTTTTCGTTTAGATATTTAAAAACTACGAATATTCTTTCACTAGCTTGGGTAAAAATTTAAAATTTCATTCGTTTCATATAAGACTTTCAACGTAATCAAAAAAAATGAAATTCTCAAAAATGTGTCCATGTTTGTTAGTTACAAGATAAGCTCACATTTTTAAAAATAGAGCTCAAAAAGCACTCCTTTTATAGTAATTAACTCTAAAAACGTATTAATGCAAAAAGAGGCAGAAAAAGACGATTTTTAGAGACCCTAAACTCGAATTGAACTGTTTTTCAGCATCGTGTCGCATAGCATTTTTTGTACTGCTCAGCTAGGGTTGTCAAAGTCATTAAAAAAATGTTCGATTCTTCTAATCTATGTAAAATTACGCGTAGATTCTATGATTGCTTGTTGTTTTTCAGCTTAGGTTAATGTATTGTCTTAAAAAGCCAAAAACATGCATTAAGCGCAACACTATAGATGCCGTACACGCTGTACTTTACCAATAACACTCACTAGATAAATCATGAAAGACATCAACAAGTGCCGTTGTTTGAAGATCACCGCATTCACGCCAATCAAATAGAAAACTATGTAAACAAGCGTGATTCCAGTGCCAAGAAAGGTGTGCACGAGTTCAAAGGGATTCTGGGAGAGCACACCTTCAAGTGTTCTAAAAATTGAGAAATTTGGAAACCTAGATAGAAAACCCATACTTTCCAAATTCTTTTAAATTATAGACGAGCCAAAACGCCATATCGACTAGGATGAACAATGTCGAGAAGACGATGAGAAATGTCTGAAAGCTGAGGTTTGATATTGCTGTCAAGTCTTATGTTACAACGTTAAATACTGGGTTTACCTTGTGACTGTTACGCTTTTTAGACCAATTTGTCTGCTTGACAAACTAAAACTTTAATTAACAAGACTTAAAAGATGGATCATACACAAGAATGATATCTCTCTGGTGGAAAAGTTCTTGGGAGTTCACCAATCGGAGTCTTCGTGTGGTCATTTGAAGCAAAGGAGAACAGTTGCTTGAAGGAATCTAAAGGAATGGATGTTTCAAGAAGATAGACTACGATTTCTTCGTTGAAGTCTTTGGTAAACAAAGAAATTGATAGATTTTTGCCACTAGGCTTGTAAAACCTTGCTCCACATCAAATTTAAGATTTACTTCGTAAGGTTTTCTTAAAAGGGGACGGCAGTTTAGGGCCGGTTCTCAATGAAAATCGCTATAATATAGCATACCAGCGGAAAATTCTGTTCACGTTAACGTTCGTGTTTTCCAACAAACTTTTTCAGACAATAATGACTTTTTGAAAGAGATAATCATTAGAATCATTAGAATTATGTAATCATTAGAATCATTAGAATTATGTAATCATTAGAACTAGACTATTGTCCTGCTATTGTTAGGCTAGAACTACTTTTGACTCTTTCCGCGGGCAGTTTAAATATAAATTACCGTAAATGATGTATTAGAATAACACCCTCTAATAGAATGACACCTCCACACTCCTCAAAATCTTGACTTTAGATCCCCCATGTGGGGATTCTATGGATAGATCTAAAAAACCATATTGGTCCCCCACATGGATTTTGGAGATTTTGGATCCATTGGAGATTCAAAGAGGTCGCAAGTAATAAAATAGTTTTACTTTTAAACGTGTTTTTTGTACGTTTTGGACGAAGGGCCATCATTTAAAATGGTTTTTAACGAATTCTAAATTTTTGATTCATTTGGTTTCCCCCTTTGTGGCGAATAGCCACTAAAAAGGTTACCTAACGCTGACAGCCTAAAAATTGGAAAAGTATTGCAGAAATCCGTGCGCCTTCATTCTATTTCGCGCCCCAAATCATTTATTGTTTTGTAGCTTGTTAGCTGAATATCCTGTGTAGCCTATATGAGCTGAGCTGAATATCCTGTGCAGCCTATATGAGCTGAGCTGAATATCCTGTGCAGCCTATATGAGCTGAGCTGAATATCCTGTGTAGCCTATATGAGCTGAGCTGAATATCCTGTGTAGCCTATATGAGCTGAGCTGAATATCCTGTGTAGCCTATATGAGCTGAGCTGAATATCCTGTGTAGCCTATATGAGCTGAGCTGAATATCCTGTGTAGCCTATATGAGCTGAGCCAATATCCTGTGTAGCCTATATGAGCGAGCTCAATATCCTGTGTAGCCTATATGAGCTGAGCTGAATATCCTGTGTAGCCTATATGAGCTGAGCTAATATCCTGTGTAGCCTATATGAGCTGAGCTGAATATCCTGTGTAGCCTATATGAGCTGAGCTGAATATCCTGTGTAGCCTATATGAGCTGAGCTGAATATCCTGTGTAGCCTATATGAGCTGAGCTCAATATCCTGTGCAGCTGAATAGCCTATATGAGGCAACTGTTGTTCATTTGATGAGTTTTACTTTTTTCTTTCATCGTGTGAAAGTTGTTTCCTAATTAGAACGAAATTGTTTCTGTTTTTGTCGTCGCTTTTAATTCAATTGTCGATTTTGTGTGAAAATTGCTCAAGTGAGAGCCCAAAAATTGCCGACTCAGTCGGCTATTGAATAAAGTGTCTTAGTTCAAGTGAGATCAGATATCTCGAAACAAGAAATAACGTGTCTTGAGTGAAGAGTACCAAGCACGCAAAGAATATTTCTTTACACCCTTATCTATCTTTTGGATCAGCATTTACGGTATTTCTGAGTTGGCGAATCTCAGAATTACTCGATTTTACTTACTTTTGCGATTTCCGTTCGGCTTGACGATCTGCGCGTAGACGGGCTCCACAGTAGCCATTTTCAATGATTAATTATCAATTGTAAGTTAAAATCTCAATGATAAATGCAAAAGGAAAACATCACAATAGCTTTATTATTTGTTTTTCAAACATTTAAGATTAAAATATTTTGTTTATGCTCTAGCTGATAAGAGTTTGGGGAAGGGAAACAAGTCGAAAAAAACAACTACTTATCAGATGCGTGCAAGTCCAAAAAAGTCGTTTTCAAAAGTCAAAAGTGAAAGCCGAAGTTGAATATTAAACGGTTTTTATATTCCTTTTTTTGAAAAACATTACATAAGAACCCAATTGAACTAATCTACTTTTTGATGCGAGATTTTTCTGGTAAAGTTTGATGCCATTGTTTGAAGCTTGTTTGAAGCTTGTTTATTGCCATTGTTTGAAGCTTGTTAGAAGCTTGTTTGATGCTTGTTTGAAGCCATTGTTTGAAGCTTGTTTGATGCTTGTTTGAAGCCATTGTTTGAAGCTTGTTTGATGCTTGTTTAAAGCTTGTTTGAAGCTTGTTTGAAGCTTGTTTGAAGCGTGTTTGAAGCTTGTTTGAAGCAAAGTTCTTGACAAAAAGCACACATATGGACTAGGATTTATTTAAACATCAGTAACATTGAAAACATAAACTAAAAACCTCTGCCCAAGTGACATTAGGCTGGGCTAAGCCTGACATCAAGCTCACCCAGACTGTTGTAAATTTAGCCTAGCCTTATGTCACTTGGGCAGAGGTCTTTATCGTCAAAAACCTCTGCCGAACTGACATCAAGCTAAGCTAAATTTACCCAGACTGTTGTGAATTTAGTTACTGACAAGTTACCGATTTACAGAGAAACAGATCCCGTGCTCCAAGAACAATAATAAAAGTTTATATAACAATAAAAATGTATAAAAACCCAAGAAAAAGAAATTCAAAGCAATTAAAGCGAATGTAAATTAAGACAGAACTTATACTCGGATGAACTTATACTCGAGACTTTAGGGTATTGTCCTAGGCATAAAAACAAGAGAAACTTTTACGGAAGGCCACAACTCTGATCTCAAATCCTCAACACAAATCATCAAAATGTACTCATTTCCGTTGAAATTCAAAGTGAAAAACTTTTCCCCACTTCTTTCTGTCACTGTCTGCTCTAGTCGATAGATTCGCTTCAGTTCAGGGCGGGAGATTTGTAGAGTGTGAAGATTTTCGTATGTGTAACGATTGGTTGCGTGAAAAGCAAGCTTTTTCAAAGCCTCAACTTCTACAGAATCCAAGTCGTCTGGCTTTATGATCTGAAATTTCATAAATGCTTTACGGTAGTTTAGAAAAGGCAAACATTTTTCACTGATTACGAAAAAACGTAAAGAGTAGCCAAGAGTTTTTATGAATTAGGCTTTTGTGAAAAGCTTTGCTGATTTCTGTTTTGCCTGAAAAACTTTGCTCAAAACTTACCCGAGTACAGTATTTTCTCGGTAGAGCAATTTTAAAAAAGTAATCTAATCTAATCTATCTCAGTAATATTGTCTTGTCTTGAATCTTGTCTCAATCTCGTCTCAATGTACGTTCTTTGACAATAGTAAGCTATTTACGCTTAGCTCACAACCAAAAAAAAATGAATAGATCAAATCTAACAAGGGAAGTACCCCAGCTTGCCACCGCCGATCGCCAGACGCCCAAGGAGAAGTTATAGAACCGACTAAGCTGATCAAAATGCCGCAAAAATTAGCTTCCCATACTCACGCAAACGCGAGTTACTTGGCATAGAGGTTTTTATCTTGCTCTTGATCTTGCATCTTGATCTTGATCTTGCATCTTGATCTTGCATCTTGATCTTGCTCTTGATCTTCATCTTGGTTAAAAGTAGACTTGTGTTTCGGTTGAACCGAACCGAGCCGAAAGACTCATCTTGACTTGACTCATCTTTTCGGTTGAACTGAACCGAACCGAGCCGAAAGACTCATCTTTTCGGTTGAACTGAACCGAACCGAGCCGAAAGACTCATCTTTTCGGTTGAACTGAACCGAACCGAGCCGAAAGACTCATCTTTTCGGTTGAATAAGAACCGAGCCGAAAGACTCATCTTTTCGGTTGAACTGAACCGAACCGAGCCGAAAGACTCATCTTTTCGGTTGAACCGAACCGAACCGAAAGATTTCGGTTGACTTCGGTTGAACCGAAACCGAACTGAAAAGAGCCAACCGAAACACAAGTTAGTTAAAAGGCTTTTCTCGATGGATACCGATATTTGCTGGTGGCCTAGCGGATAAAGTGGTTGTATACAAAGCGAGCTCTCTTTTTTCTTGCTCGGGTTCGAGTCCTCGCCTTGCCTTTTCTGCTTACTCGCTTCTATAACTTCTCCCTGGGGGTCTGACGATCGGCGAGCCTGAGCCTGAGTGACGAGCTGGGATACTTCCCTTGTAAGACAAGGTTACGGGTTTCCGAAAGTTGAAAAACTTTGTAAGAAACGTTTCTAAGAAGTGTTTTCTTTATTTAGAAAAACGAATATTTACCGAAATTTCCACCCACCTTAATTCCCGAGACTTCAGCCACCGTTTCCACAAAATTCGAAAAAACTTCCGTCGATTGTTGAGCAAATCCGAGATTTCCGTGAAGTTGAATCGACGCTTTCTCATGCTGATTTGGGAGTCCTTTCCTCAAAATATCTTTAAAAGTATTCATTAGTTTCTCCGGCTCATCAATGCTCAACCCAGCGTGTTGACATCGCAATTTCGAGGCGATTTTCCAATAGTCCATTAGCTCACAACCAAAATAAACATCTTTTGCAGTGCTGAATCCAGAGGTGCTAAAAAGCTTTGTGTAAAAACTTTCCACTTCTTCACCATTAGCGCCTTCTTTGGGCACGTAGACTTCCAATTTGTCGATCGTTTTTGGTCTAACCATTTCCAGAATCAGCTCAGAAAAGCCCATTGTTGACTCCAATTGAAAAAGTTGAAAGTGTTGAATTTTTGAAAAAGCCATTAGCAATCTCATTTGTTCGATTGCACTTCGATTCCGCTCGGTGATCCCCGGCCAAACGTTGAAATGAAGCTTTCTGCAGAATTTGATTTGAGAAATCAATTTCCAGAATGATTTGGCGTCGAAATCCTTTACGAATACTCCTTCGGTCAACGAGTTTTCCATGTGTTTTCGGTGAAAATTTGCATAAAGAATATATACTCTCAAAATTGGATCCATTTCTTGAATCGTTTCTTCTGATTCTGGACACGAAACACTAATCTCTTCAATGTGTTTAGGAAAGAATCCACGTTTTAAAATCAACGCTCGCATTCCAATGTTCACTTTCAAAAGTTCTTTTGTCTCGTTTTTATGAAACAAATCAACGATTGAATATTTCAAAGAGTTGGGAAGAAGCGAGAAGTTGAAAAGGCTCATTTGGAGTTGAAGAAGATCAAATACTTGAAGAAAATGCAAGAATTTGATAAAATCCGGTCAAATTAACTTCGAAAACGAAGCATGAGAAAGTAATTTTGGCTTTTCTACGCTTTCTTGTGCAATCTTTCAAACTACAAACTACACTGCGTCAACAAAAATCCCCAAATTGTCCACAGAAAAGGCAAAGAAACCGGCTTTTTAGATTGTCATTTTCAGATTTTCAGATTGTTTATTCTGAATTTACTATAACATTGATAAAAATCTTTTTAATTCAAAGAGCAACTCTAAAATATCGGAGCTGGCTCGTTGGACATAAAATTACGCAGCAAATTACTAAAAGAACGCAAAAAAATCGTTTTCTATAGGATTTTTATGTTTGAATAGCCATTCGTGCTGAAAAATGTGCTGAATCCGAAAATAAATAAATTTTTGAAATTCCTAATGGGTCTTGGTTTTCGAGAAATTAAAAAAAAAGCGTTTTTCAGCTTAAATGACCCAATGCAATAACTTGCTTTAAACTGATTTTTAAGAAAAACCGTTTGATCCAATCGATTTCTTGACCCCGAAAGCATCGCGACACAAAAATTTCAACCAAAAAGCTCTTATTCCGACGCTTTTAGAGTAACATAGACTTTTTAAATAAATTTTTTAAAGTATAGAGATTTTCGAAGCTTTATTTGTATTGCGCTTCTTTCAAGATATTAACGGAAATCTTTTTTGCCGCGCTTAGTGACAGGAGACGAAAAGTGGATTCTCGCCCACATACGACAAAACTCACACGCACCACAATCCACAGCATGGCCTGGGAAGTCTTACCTCACCTTCCTTGTTCTTCAGGTCTTGCCCCATCGGGTTATCATCTTTTTGCGCTCAATGCAACATTCCCTGGATGGGGAGCATTTTCAAAACGAAGACGACCTCAAAAAGTGGCTCCAAATTGGCTATTGGCTATTTCGACTCGAAACCAAAAATTTTCTACGATAGAGGAATTCGTGGGAAGTCTCACCTTACCCTTCTTAATCTTTTGATCTTGCCCCATCGGATTATCATCTTTTCCGATCAATGCAACATCCTCTGGATGGGGAGCATTTAAAAAGTATAGAGATTTTCGAAGCTTTATTTGTATTGGGCTTCTTTCGAGACATTAACGGAAAAAGTGGATTCTCGCGCTTTTTTGCCGCGCTTAGTGACAGGAGACAAACGATTCTCGATTGATTCTCGCCAACATACGACAAAACTTACACGCGCCACTCCACAGCATGGCAAAACATCCACAGCATGGCCTGGGAAGTCTTACCTCACCCTCCTTATTCTTCAGAACTTTCATTCAAAATTAACCAAATTTGTCACTGAAAAAGTTTGCCTCTTTGTGGGAAATTAGCTCAAATTTGATCATTTTTCAAAGTGCTGGTGGGGAACTTGCTTTATTGGGAATCCAGTTTCCTTTTCCTTCATCAACCGGCAAAACAGGTCAACGGTGGTGTTCTTTCTTGAGATTTTGACAAGAAGAAGACAAGCTTTTCTTCGCTTTTCTACTATCGAATTTAATTATGCTGAAATATTTCTTTGGTAAGTAAAGCTTGACTTCAGATATTCACAGTAGTATTCACAGTAATTTTTAAAGATTTTTATTTCAAAACTTTTCAGTATTGACCCTTCTTTTTGTTTTCTCAAAAGCTGAGAAATCAAAAGATAACTATGGACTCAAAAAAGTGATGAAGCCGGAAAGTCTCCGAGTTCATGAAAATGATCAAATTTTGGTAGTTTTTCAAAAATTTAACTAAATAACTCAATTTTCAGGATATTTTGGAAGGCGATTCACCCATTGAGCAGAAAATTCGCTTCAAATTTCAAGAGGAGTCAAATGGCCAACTGTGCGATGTTTGCAAAACTCTGCTAGAATCTGTTTCGGAATACGTCAAAGAACATGAGGTTGATCTGATTATAAGTTACACTAAACTGATCTGACTTGACTATCTGGCTACTCAAGGACTGTAGACCTGGTTAGGTTCAGATCTGGACCTGGTTAGGTTCAGGTCTGGACCTGGTTAGGTTCAGGGCTGGACCTGGTCAGGTTCCTGGTCTGAACCTGGTTTTTGGCTAGAGTTTGTCAGCTAAAGCTTTTGACATGCTTTTTGAAAAATTACTAGAGAAAGGCAAGTACTTGTCGTGGCTTTTTGAAATGAAACCAAACTCATCTTATAGAAACGGTTGTGCTGAGCTCGAATCTACTTTTAGTTTTTGCCCTCGAGGCCTGTGACGCAAGATATCTAGCTTACAAGTTTTGGTTGCATTTTTGATCTCTTTTTGAGGCCTCCACGCCCTGCCTTTGCTTTTTATATTAATAAAATCTTTTTGATAATTAAAAAAACGCTTTTTATTGTCTATAGCCAAGCTTCTCGATTCCTTAAAATAGATAAAACTGTCAAATTTTTAGCTTTTTGGTTTTTGGCTAGACTTTGTTGGCTAAAGTTTTTTTTGACATGCTTTTTGAAAACGTTTTTTTTTTAAAACCACATAAACTATCCGTCTTTCTATAGCTTTTTCGAATCTTTGTTAATTGCTTATCCTTAAAATACTCAAAATAATGGAATGGAATGCCATAAAAAGTTGAGAGTTAAAAAATAAGTTTAAACAAAACCACACATTCACATTTTGAGAGATAGCGTGAGGGCCCCACATAGAAATCAGAAATGCAACGAGAACTTCTAAGCTAGATATCTTGTGTTACAGGCTTCGAGGGCAAAAACTAAAAGCAAATTTGAACAGCCGATTCTCTAAGATGAGTTTGGCGTTTCAAAAAGCCAAGACAATTCTCTAGTAAGTTTTCAAAAAGCATTTCGAAAGCTTTAGCTGACAATGTCTAGCCAAAAACCAGGTCCAGACCAAAGTCTGGACCTGGTTTGGTTTGAAGTCTGAGGCTTTGAACAAGCTTTGGCTTCTAGAACCGACGACACTGAAAAATCCATTGGGTTGAGGTCTGGAGAGCTAGGGGGACACTCAGAAAAGGAAATGAAATCCTGGAAGCTGTTTTGGCAGAACTCTTGGAGTTTCTTGGATTTGTGCGCCAGTGCACCGCTGATAGGTTTAAATGCGATTTCGAAATCCAAAAACCAGAAATGAAGCTAAAATCAATGAGTTATTGTCCATGAATACAGGTCTACAGGCCTTGAGTAGCCAGATAGTCAAGTCACACCAGGATAAATTGCCTTTGGAAAAATCCTTTTCCATTTTACACGATTACTTCATTGAGCTTTTTCAAATCTTGAATATTTTGCAATAGTTTTGCCAACAATGCAAACTTTCTAACTGGATTTAATTGCTAGAAAAGATTAATAACGAACTACAGAACCTAGTTGGCGGTTCACTTTTTGTTCAGCGAAAGCTTTTTGACTTTGTCGTTTGTTTTATAAAAGCTTCACTGTCAAATTTTAGTCAACGATCCCCGACGCGCTGAACGCTCTTTGTGATGAGCTTTTTCATACACATCAATCGGAAAAAGATCTCTGTGAAGTGATCGTTCAATCTCAACTCAAAAACATCATTGCCTATATTGAAGAGGGGACAAATCCCGATATTGCTTGTAAAGCTTTGGATTTTTGTTGATATGGTTGGCTTAGATTGTACATTAAGATTAAGAAATCGAATAAACATTTTTTTATAATGGGCTGTTCAGTTGAATTCAATTTCAAAACCGTTCAATTCTTTGAATTCTCCCGAAACTCAAAAAACTTGTCAAACGAAGAAAGTGATAAGGACGAGGATACTGAGAAATCTTTGCCGCGTTTTTTTTTGAGGATTTTCTCGAGTTTTCCAAAACCTAAACCGTCTTAAGCTGCTCATAAACCCAGCGTTCAAATTCTTAGGCTTAACGAAACGAAATATACAAAAGGGAGACCATCAAGAGCGATTGAAATCTTTGAGTCATTGACAAATTCCAATGGTTTTCCTATTCATTTTACTATTAACAACAGCTTTAAACCAAGTTGAAACGGACGTGAATGTCAAGGAGAATTACACCAATATTGTTACTACAATCTTTTCAAAAAGTTCACCCAGAGTTTTGGAAGCAAAACCAAGACCAACAAAACAAACACGAGCACCACAACCGACGACACCAAGGCCACCTGGTGAATAATTGTTTACTTTAGCTTAAAAGCTAAATTCATGGCACTTATTAGCAACAATCACAACAGTTGGACTGCACTAAAAAGCCTACTGTTAGAGGTGAAAACCCTAGAAATGGGTAGTACCAGAATTTTTGTCTTTAATAGTAAGAAAAGTGATAAGCTTTTGATAAAAGAACATGATTTCAATGTATTGGTTTGACCGGAAAGTCCGTCTTTTTAAAATTTTCATTTATAAAAGAATAATTGGGTGATCAATGTGTGATTTGCTTTAAATAAAAAAGATTAACGATTTCATGTAGCTCATTTTTAGGCAAACTTGAATCCGTTTTGAAGCAAAACCGAGCGGAAATTCTTGTTTTTCGTAAAATCTTTACAATGGACATAGAATGAAATTGGTTGAGTCAATTTCTCTGAGAATTTGTCTATTTGCCTAACCTTTTATGCTCTAACTTTTGTCTTTTAACACCAAAATAAGTCTCTGTACAAAAAGTGCTCAAATTGGACCCTTGAGTTTCGTCGCTTTTGATTGCTCGACTGACATTTTTCACTTCACACCTTTAAAAATATAAACTAACGCGAGCTTTTCATAGTTTCTTTTGTTCAATTTGTTCGATAAATAATAGAACTTTCTGATAAAACAAATCATAGATCGATTGGTTCAATCAATGGTTCATTATTCATTTCAAAAAGTAACCTTTAAAAAAGCGAAGAAGACTTTCCGGTCAACCTTTTACAAGGTACTTTTTTTGTCTAAAATAGCTGTCTAAATAGCTGTCTAAATAGCTGTCTAAATAGCTGTCAAATAGCGCCAAAACGCAATAGGCAAGTTGCAAGTTGTCTAAATAGCTGTCTAAATAGCGTCTAAATAGCTGTCTAAATAGCTGTCTAAATAGCCTTCAAAAGAGCTTCAATTTTGATATTCAATTTCTACTCTGGAAAACAAGACAGCACAAGGCCTTTCAGACAAGACATTTGGTACTGTAGATCTAATCTGGATTGAACATCAATTCATTTTGTATCAGCAACTTCCTCAGTTTATCCAATAACGTTAAAGTTTACCTAACCGATGCTAAATTTTCGGAATTTCTCATAAATCATCATTTTTCTTTATAAAATTCTTGGTTTAGATAGAAGATTCCGACTGAGCGATGCCGGGCCTTCTTTTGCCATTCACGGAGTACGATTGAATCGTTTGCAGGTGAAAAGATGTGAAATTGAATCATTTGGAGGTGAAAAGATGTGAAAGTAGTGCTCTTGTGCCAGAATTTTTAGATTTTCACAAGCATTGGAAAATGGTAGATTAAAAGATTTCTTTGCCTGTAAAGCATTTAAAGTTAAAGAGTTGATTAGATGATTGGAAGTCCAAAAGAAAAAATGAATTTGAATCAATGTTCAATGAATTTCTTGGAACATAACATCGAATCTGAAAATTTGAAACAAAAAAAAATATGATTAAGTAGAAGAAGTCATTTTATGACTGACCAATTTCTTTTCAGGCCTTTCAACTTTTTACAAGTAACCCATCAATCACAGCAAACTTCCTGCTAGACTTTACCGTTTATGATTGTGCGGAACCCAGCTCGACTCCCAATCCTACTCTGGTTTATAAATATTTATTCATTAAATGAAAAAATTCAGTTAAATCGATCAGCTCGATCGATCACCAATTGCATCGATCAGCTTCCATTTTCTATTGATGAAGAGCCAACTCTGGTGTTTGGTGATTGGGAAGAAGTGTAAGTCTACAGCTTTCGACTTTTGACCATATTCATTATAGCTCTTTTGCCTCAAGCAATGATTCCACAAAAGTGAATGGTCACTTTTACACATCGCATGTTGTCCTTGAAAACAAGAACCAAATAACCGTTCGCGAGACCAAATTTAACACCGGTGACTGGGGGATTTCGATTCGTCTTGAGCAATGGGTGAATGGTAAGTAGAAGAATGGGAAAACTACGAAATTCAAGATATTACAGACACAAGAAAAGTGCTTGTCATTCCCGGAATGCAAAAACATCCAGAAGATTACTTTATTGTTCTTGTCAAGGAGACTTTCCTCGTCACTATCGTCACTCCATCAACGGTCTTCAGCCCGTATACTATTATGGAAGTGTTTGGACAAGGAATGGTTATGGCTCCGACGGATTGCCCGCTATTTCAAGTGGGGTTTGAATCGCAAAACTAAAGATTTGAAGATTTAGTAATCACTAGATACACCTGAATCACTTTGTAAGTTCATATTTTAGACGGAACTCACGTGTACCCGTGATGTGCTTTATTCTGTTTTTGCTGGCGCTGACCCGGGTAAAGTGGAGGATGCAGGAAATCGTTTAGCTGTTGAAACGTTTGTTTACCCGTTTAGCTGTTGAAAAGTTTGTTTACACAAATAAAAATTTAGAGCTCAAATTTTGAAAGCATCCTCAACGTCGACCGCAACGAGTCTCTTTGCGAACACGCAATGCGCTTTTTGCCTCAAGTTCAACTTTAATGGCGGTAAATCGGGAAGAATCACAATAATTTTAATAGTTTACTAGTTAAATGAGATTTTGACCTTTTCTGACCAAAAAAGAGACGCCTTTTCAACAACTTTGAGAAAAACATGGGCTTCTAGTAAGTTATGTGGACATGGCTCGTTTCTCAATTTGGTCTCCCGAGTTCAACCCATGGGCATATGATCAACAAGAAAAAGTGGGAAGGATTGGAGGCAATACGTGCAGAGGATCGTGCTTGATATTTTGGTCAAATTGCAAACCATGTAAGCAGAAAAATGGAATTTGTAGAACAACGAAAAGGGAAAAAAACAAGGGCTGGATAGGGACAGAAGCAATATTTAAGATTTAACAGAATAGTTAACATTTAACAGAATAGTTAACATTTAACAGAATATTTAGCATTGTTCTTCTTAAAATGTACCATGTTGAGTAACAATATTTTAAGCCAACCGATGCACCACTACCAAAATTCTCGATAGAAATTCAACAATACATCGACATAAGCTCTATATACGTGACCGGGTATTCGGTTCCGAACTGCAGCTACACAACACCAAAAGAGTATATAACGGAGGAGAGAAAGTACGATGTTTTTTTTGTAGTATTTATTGTTAGTTAATTTAGAGTTACTGAAAAGCTTGAAACTTGGACGTTCACAGCACAATGTGTAATGGTCAGTTTACTTTCTAACTATGAGATTACTTCCAGTTAAACAACCCATTAGAAGCTTCAAGCAACAGCTTCAGGCAACTCCATTAAGCTTCAAGTTGAATTGAAATGAAAAAAAGCATCATTTGAAAGCCTGAAGTGTAAATGATTTAAAGCTAGTCCTTTTTAGATTTCCTGGCGACCAAGTGACATCGACGAAACCCTCCCTGATACCAGTTTTCTTTTCACCGTTCGTCAACTTCCAGACTGCAAAGCGACTTATCCACTGCTTGATGAGAACTCGCCGAGTTTTGCCTTTCACGCCTCCGATCTACAAGATTATTCAAGTCTCTTAAAGCCTTAAAAGATACAGATGAAGACATAAAAGATAAAGCATAAAACACAAAGCATAAAACAAAAAGCATAAATACTCGGTCAAAGAACTAAACCTAATCAAAGCCAGGTTTTAGCATGGAAAATAAAGCTGGTGACTTAACCAAGTTACTGTCCATTTAGAAAACAATCCGTTGAGTGCGTTCTGTGTCGAAACATGTACCGGCTGTCAGTTAGAGATAGAATTTGCTTATTATTGCGAGGTTAAGCGTATATCGTAATCTTCAATGTTGAAAGTTTAAGCAAATTGATTGCGAACCAATAAAAGAAGTACCGTTTTCGATCAATGCAGAGATATTCTCACATTGGGATCGCGATTGCAAGAGGAGGTTTGTTTTGAGGGAATCTGCCTTGAAAACGCGAAGAACAGCCAGTTTGGAGACGATTGTCATAAAGCATTAGCTCCAAGATCTTAAGAGCTTTCAAGTCATGTCCAATTATCGCTTAAACTCAACTCCCCTGAAAGACACTAGAGTTCTCAAAGAGTTAACCAGTTTTCAGAAAACTTCTGATAGACAATTAAAGCCCAAAATATTTAGTCTCACCTTTCCAAATCAAACAAACGTGATGAGTTGCTTGCTGAGAATTGAATGGAACGGAACTTTGGCTAGAGCTAATGGAAAATTGGCTCTTGTTTGGGCAGCGAATGCTTCACTTGCGAATCGGAGTGCTTTTCTCGTGACCGTGCCTCAACTCTTTGACGGTATGGCCATTAAGTTGAGGACTTTCATTTCAGAATACTGTATTAGTTAGTCTTTAGATGACAGATGACAATTTGTACAATCTTTAGATGACAATTTGTACAATCTTTAGATGACAATGTGTACAATCTTCTTCCGACTTTTGCATCCGAAATTCCCATTCAAGAGTCACAAAATGAAGTCTGGTACATAGTTGTTTTCCCAAATGATGTGCCTGTACGTGTTTTGAAAGGAATGTATTCGGTTTGGAGATGAAAGCTTTAATAAATCTCTTTACAATAGGATCCAATCAACACTGAGTGCTCATATGATCTCTACATCCTTTCACCGCATATTACGTCAAATCGTACGGATCACTTTCTCATGTCAATTAAGTAAAATTACTCTACTGTAAAAGGAATCCTGTAACAAAACTATTATCTAGTGAGAATATCTCGTTTGTCGATTTTTATCTCGAAAGTCGGGTTTACACACTGAAAGTGCCATCCGGATGCTCTCCAATTGTGACCACTGAGCCAACAAATATCTCTTTGTCAGGTTATAATTTAGGATCATTTACCATGCCATCGGAAATTAACGGTTTGCCATTGTCTGAGTTGTTCCGAGACAGGCTTTATTGAGTATATTGAGTCTATTGAGTCTATTGAGTCTATCTATTGAGTTCAGAGCGAATTGTGAAGCAGGATCTCTGTTTGGGAACCACAATCATCACCACTTCCGGATACCTCAACAAATGGAGTCCCTTTGATGAGGCAGTTCCACTATCGCACCAAGTTACTTGTGGTAAGTCAATCGAAAAATGAGCTTAAACCTGGAACTCGACGACTGGAACTGGAACTAACTGTAGCTAAAAATCATTACAGACGACGTTTCATCTCTTCTAATCAAAGTCAACATGCATGCGCTTTTCGATGGAACGCTCACACTCGCGTTTAATGATACAACTGATGGAGAAATTGATGAGAAGTAAACTTTTGTGGTGCTTAGTAGTTGATCACCTTGTTTTCAGAAGCATTTTGCCGGGGGATTACCCCCTGGGTTACGAAATAATTGTGAGCAATGCTACAAGTGTTATGGTAAGTTTTAGGAAGTTTATTGCTTATAGATGATTGAAAGACACACACAGCTAAGTTCAGTTAAGACTTGCATTGAAGGCAAGGATTTGCCAGGGTCAAAACCAGGCCAAAACATATCCTATCCTGGTCTTAGTTGTCCAAAGCCAGTCCAAAGCCAGTCCAAAGACTAACTACATACCTTTAGTCCATCTTAACGATAAAATAATAGCAATAAACTTAAACTTAAACTTTAGGTAAGCTGGGAGCCGCCTGAAAATGGATCAGTTCATAACGAAACGCAGAATGAAGCGGGCGCCTTTGTTTCGGTTTACATGGAAGAAGCTGAAGAAGAACCACCAAAAAAGCTCTCATCGAAACTTTGGTATTGGCTTGGACCACTGATTGGGCTCCTCGCCATGACGCCATTTTTTTACATTGGACTTAAAACGGGGTAATGAACCTAGAAATCAAAAGGCACCCTTTAAAAGGAATTCTGTACCAACTTTAGTCAACTTTAGCCAGCTATAAGATCAATTAGTTCTTGAAGCTTATAGATCAATTAGTTCTTCTTGAAGACCTAAGCCTGAGCCTAATTGTGAGCTGGACAAGCCTAGATAAAGTTCAAGGTTAACAAGAACTACAGTGCCTTTTAATCCTTGAACTACAAAATCAAGCAAAGGTTAAATGTTGACCGATTACAGGCTATTCCACCGTCTGTGTTGCCCTCAAGTCCCATCTCAGGAGAGATGGGTAAAAGTGTGGTCGAAATTTGAATGGGATATGCAATTGATTGAGTTGGTGATTTCTAGAATAAAAAGTATAGACAAAAACTAACTAAAACTAACTAAAAATAACTAAAATATAGACAGATACTGGCCTAAAGTTCAAGTCTAAATCATAGTTTTGCCAAAAATTCAGAGACGGTCGAGATTTCTGGGAAGTGTCGGCGACAAGCTTACAAATGTTCGAAGACACGCTTGGTGAGGGAGCGTTTGCCGTCGTTTACAAAGGCTTTCTTAAAGGAGTGCCACCTGTTGCAAAAATCTATCCATCGCTTCAGGTAGATTTTTGTTGAGTTCGGAAATACCGTTTTCAAGTTCTCCTACTTTCTTTCAATGGAGGGAAATTCTGTGGCTGTAAAGATGACCCGCGAACAGGCAACTGAGAAAGAAAAGTTTGTTTGAATAAACGAATTTGCATTGTTTTACTAGGTAAATAGCTTCTTTAATCATTTGAAGTCAATAGTTTTTAAAAACAGCAAAACCTGCAGCAAAACCGGATTTGCAAAATCGACCCTGGATTTGGTTTTTAACCTAGTGCTATCCCTGTCTTGATCAAATACCTTTGGAGTAGCTTATCTATTAGGTTGGCAAGTTATAAACGATCGTTTTTTGGGTAGTGGCCTTTTTTGAATCTTTGAAAAATGTTTTATTTTAGAACTTTTTCAGGCATTTTAATGCAAGAGTTGAAAATATTCTATGTAAAATTACGCGTAGATTCTATGATTGCTTGTTGTTTTTCAGCTTAGGTTAATGTATTGTCTTAAAAAGCCAAAAATATGCATTAAGCGCAACACTATAGATGCCGCACACTGTACTTTATCAATAACACTCACTAGATAAATCATGAAAGAGATCAACAACTGCCGTTGTTTGAAGATCACCGCATTCGCGCCAATCAAATAGAAAACGATGTAAACAAGCGTGATTCCAGTGCCAAGAAAGGTGTGCACGAGTTCAAAGGGATTCTGGGAGAGCACTCCTTCAAGTGTTCTAGAAACTGAGAAATTTGGAAAATTAGACATTAGGTTGGCAAGTTATAAACGATCGTTTTTGGGTAATGTATTTTCTGAAAAAACGGCTTATCCAATCAAAAAACGGTTTGTTTCATTCAAAAGCCCTCTCCTTAATCTACAAGTTCAAAATCCTGGTTTCTAGCATTCAAAATCCTGGTTTCTAGCTAATATATTTTTGAGTGATTGCATACTTTTTAAAATAAAACGCTTCATCGATTACATAGTTTCCAAAAAATTTCAGAACAATCCGATCGATCGAACCGTTCTCTTTCTTTTAATCCTTTTTTTTTAAAATCTTGCTTAAATTCAAATGAAAATGGATTAAATTAGCACAAAAGTGCATTTTGAGCCTAATTTGAAAATCAACCTTCCAAAGATTGGATTGTTCTGAAATTTTGGGAAAATTTATTTATTCATTTATTTATTTATTATTTATTAAAATTTATTCAACATAAAACCATCAATTCATTCCGAATAATTTCCACTATTATTGACGACTTCTGCCCATTTTACAGGCAATTTGCGGATTCCTCTTTCGTAGTAGGATTTTGGTTTGTGTGTGAGACTCATAAATCGAGGACTGGAGATGTCCCAGTTTGAGCACTTTCTTCAAAAGAAACCCATTTTAGTGTCATTAGAAGAGTTGTAGAGAATCAAAAAATAGGCTTATAGCCAAATTTCCAAAAAGATACACTTAGTAGTTTCGCTTAAAATGCAAGTTTTGTGAAAATTCGTAAATTTGGCATTTCTTGAAAACCAGTTTTTGAATCGTTCTGAAAATTTGGATACTTGATTTTTGATTCTCTACAACTTTTTCATTGACACCAAAATGGGTTTCTTTTGAAGAAAGTGCTCAAACTGTCACATATGACAATAGCCAGCAGTTTTCAATTCATCAACCCAATATATACAAAATCCGCAATAACGCCATCTTTTAGAGAAGAATTCCTGGAAGAAATCGAATTCATGAAACAACTCGAGTATCATCCGCACCTTTTATCGTTAGTTGCGTGCTCAACTGATCCAAAGTGTCCGCTTATTGTCACTGGGATTTGTGAACTCGGCGATTTGTTGAGTCTTGTGCGGAAGATCAATCCCAGTCAAGAAGGAGTGGTAATGGTGGGTTGCAAGAAACTAAAATTTCCTTAAAATTCAACGCATAACTCTCTTTATAAGTGGGTAAACCAAAAAAAACTACTTTTGAATATAATATTATTGTACTCTCAGTAGCATAAAAACGAATTATCTTAGAGCTAGCTTTATCCGATATTTTTGGAAGCCATTGGAAGCTTGACTCTCAACCATTCCGGGCTACCTCAAATCTACTTCAAATTTTCTGTGCTTAGAGTATTGATAGCTAAAAAATTATAAACTTAACAGCCCAGCTCAGATTTAGCCTTTTTGCTCGGCCCCATCGGCGCACAATAAGATCCTATTTCATGCATGCCGCTAATATCTCGTTGGCTAAGTGGTTAGTGCTCTTGCGTCATAGGTAGCTCTTTTGGTATAGGTAACTGGTAGCTCTTTTGACGTGTTCGATCCCCCGTGCCGCTGTGTTCTTTGCTTTTTTGATTTTTTTTGTGTCAAATCGTTTTTTAATTAAACAAATTCATTATATGCATTTGAAATTTTGGTCTAACCAAAAGACCGTGAGGATACAAATCACGTTTTAGAAAAAAAACGAAAAGGATTTATTGATGCGTTATCGCTATTTTAAAATTATTGATAGTTATTGCTAGTTATTGATAGTTATTGCCATTTCAAATTATATCATTATAAAGATAATCAATTTGTTGAATTAAAAACCAATTTGACACAAAAAAGAAATAAACGAGCAAAAAGCAAATAAAGCAAGTAGCAAGCAAGCAGCGAGCAAGCGCCAAGCAAGCAGCAAGCAAGCAAAAAAGCAAAAGATGGCGGCACGGGAGATTGAACCGGTGCAGATTGAACAAAAAGTTGAATATCTTTTTTTGCTTGAGAATTTAGGAAATGCTGATTACAGATTACAGATTGATTACAGATTCGGAATCACCGTGAAATTCTGCATCAGAAACACTGTTTCCAGCCAAACAGTGGGTCTGGTGGGGTTCCCTTGTGAGAGTTCAATAATATTATATTCAAAAGTTCTATTAGGTTGATGCATAAGTCTTTTCGTTCCTTTTCGTCTGCCGTTTCAAGCCAACAAATGCACCAATTAAACTACGGTTGATTTCATTAGAAAAACCAATTATTTTTCTGCAAAATAACATTAAAACGGGTTTAAAAATATTTTATGCCTGGATTTTCTTGAGAGTATGAAGTCGGGTAGTCAAAAAGGGCTAACTCGATGATGCGGTTTAGACACCTTAGCTAAAGAAAACCTATCTTCGTGTCAATAGATAAAAGACAGAGAAAAAAAAGTTTGATATTTCGCCAAAATTTCAGAGAAATTCATTCAGCCAATTTTTCCGTAGAGTTTTTTATAGATTTTTACGAAAAAGGCGTTTTTCACTCTCGAATTTGCTTGAAAGTGAACCGAAATTGACTTAAAAAGATGCAAATTGAACAAAAAAACACTTTTTTTATAGAGCAAACTATAGATTAATTGGTGAATTTGTTACTTTTTAACAGAAGTACGAAAAAAACGAAAAGACTTATGCATCAACCTAATATAATAATAGGGTGGTGCAAAAGAAACTACCGTTGGGTATCAGCTCTCATTTATCAGAAACGAGCGATGCTAACGGCATTATTTTTTTTATGTTTTGTTCGCATATTTGTTTGCTATTTATTTCGACATTTCAATTTTTTGGTTGTTGTTTATTTTATTTTTAAATGCTTATATTTTTTATTTAGATCATGGTCGAGCAAAAGTTTATGCTACGAGCAGCATTACTGTTTAACTTCAAAATTGAAAAGTCTGCTGCCGAATCGCATCGTTGTCTCGCAAGGAACCAAAAGAGAAAAGAGGACCAAATTTGTAGAGAAAAGGAACCAAATTTGTAGAGAAAAGGAACCAAGTCTGCTGCCGAATCGCATCGTTCTCTCTGTGCTGCCTTCGGAGATGGCAGTTTGTCTCTCAGGCAGTGTCAGACTTGGTTTCAACGATTCCGAGAGGGAGACGAGACTTTGGAAGATTACGAGCACGGTTCGAGGCCAGAAGTCGTGAACGAAGCCAAGCTGAGGGACGTTCTTCAGGCCGATCCATGCCAATCTGCTCGAAATCTTGCGAAAATATTCCATTGTGATCATGTCACCATCGAATGCCATCTTTTTTTTGAATTTACTGTCAAATCGGCAGTTTCTTTTGCAATAGTTCTATAATAGATTTAAAAGTTTTTTGTTTACCCACTTATAATGAGAATTATGCTTTGAATTTTAAGGACAGCTTATTTCTTGTCACTCTGTATAATCTTGGCAATAGATTAATCGAAAACTAAACTTTAGGATGATTCCTTGGACTTTAATGATCTGGTACCGGTGGCATGGCAAATCAGTGATGCTTTGGTAACTTTTTTAGAAATATTGTGTTGTAAACCTACCTGTAGACCTTCCTCTCGAGCAAAATGATCGTTCATCGAGACGTGGCTGCCAGAAATATTCTTGTGACAAAGAAGAAAATGGCAAAGGTTTAGAAAAAGTCAGTGAGAGATTTAATTCAACCCTATTAGCTCTCTGACTTTGGCCTATGTCGATCGATAAAAGAAACTGATTTCTTCAAGTCTTATGGAGAGAAATTGCCAATCAAATGGATGGCGCCCGAGTCGATCGAATCGGCTTGTTTCTCGACAAAGAGCGATGTGTAAGTAAATGGAGAAAGTGAAACATTGAAAGATTCTAGATCAGTTAGAGAATTTAATCAAGGTGTGGCGAATTGCCACTGCTCTGCATTTAGTCAAAATTCAATACACAAGTTAAAATTCAAAGTTGATGGATAAACTACCGTAATCAGCCACTAGACGATATTCAGTTTTCCGTTTGTCGTAGCTTGTCTACTTAAAAACCCATTATTTAAGCTTTGTTTTGAGTCAGTTGTGGGCTCCTTTTTCACACGCAAGTGTTGAAGTAATTGTGATAGTGTCAGGTTGCTCCAGTTTGAAGTTTGCCCTTATTTGGAACCATTTTGGAACCATATTGGAAGGAACCTTATTCGAGCCACATTGGAACCATATTGGAACCATATTGGAACCATATTGGAACCACATTGGAACCATTTGGAACCAATGGAAGGACCACACCAAGGAACCATATTGGAAAAGGAACCAAGGAACCAATTGAACCAAGGACCAATTGGACCAATTGGAACCAATTGGAACCAATTGGAGCCATATTGGAACCATATTGGAACCAATTGGAACCACATTGGAACCATTTGGAACCATATTGGAAGGAACCTTATTCGAGCCACATTGGAACCACATTGGAACATATTGGAACCATATTGGAACCATATTGGAACCATATTGGAACCATATTGGAACCATATTGGAACCATATTGGAACCATATTGGAACCATATTGGAACCATATTGGAACCACATTCGAACCATTTTGGAACCATATTGGAACCATTACTATTTAATAAGGGAAAGTTTTGATAAATTGTGCGTTTCCAAGACATCTACCATTGAACCACACCGAGATACGGTCTCACAAGAAATTAAAAAAGATCAAAGTATAGATATATTTCTTACACAAAGTTTAAATTCAAATTTTTCATTTATGCAAATCTTGAGATGGAGATCAAGCTCAAGGAGTAATAAGTCGATTTCCAGCTGGTCTTTTGGAATTCTTCTCTTCGAAATGTATTCCTTTGGTGAAACGCCCTATATGTCAATGGATCCCACTGATGTTTTATCGTTTCTGGAAGATGGAAACAGATTAGAACTTTCAGAATCAACTCCGAAATTGATGTATTTTAACGGTTACAATAGAATCATTTCACTATTGATTGCAGAAGTTCTCTCATCGAGAGTTGTTGGTTGGAGGAACCGACAGAACGTCCGGATTTCTCGCACCTTCAAAAGCAATTCTATCAAGAGATGGAATCGAATTCCGAAAAATATGGATATCTTCAGTTCAGGTATTGAAAATCTTATTTGGTTCTAATAGGTTTTTTAGCAAAAACTACTATCGTCAAGAACCAGTCAGTGATTTGGATTCAAGCAAGCCGCAAATGGATTTCCATTTCTGAATTTCGCTGTTTGTCGTTTGCTAAAGGTATTAAAGGGCGGTAATAATCGTGGCCGATTCTGACTAAAAACTTTTTTTTTGGAGAAAATTCATTTATTTCGTGTTTATTTGTTAGATTTATTGCTAAAAATGATAAAAATGAATTGGTAAAGTGAATTTTAGCACAAAATAGAGTTTATTCACATTGATCGTGATCTCGAAGCCCAAGTATCTTCTGGTAGAATTCGAAGAACCAAAATTGCTTCTTCAACATCGTCACCTTTGTGGTCGGGCACCTGGTGATATAGCAGAATTCTGTATCAGCTATGCAATCATTTAATCAAAAAAGTCAAGCTCAACGTTGGCTCAATCAACTCTTAACTCAAAATCGTCATGATTTTCGGCATATGGCCTGTCGGCATATGGCTATTTTGTTCTAATAGGTTTTTCAGCAAAAACTACTATCGTCAAGAACCAGTCAGTGATTTGGATTCAAGCAAGCCGCAACTGGATTTCCATTTCTGAATTTCGATGTTTGTCGTTTGCTAAAGGTATTAAAGGGCGGTAATAATCGTGGCCGATTCTGACTAAAAACTTTTTTTTTGGAGAAAATTCATTTATTTCTTGTTTATTTGCTAGATTTATTGCTAGAAATGATAAAATTAATTGGGAAAATTAATGTTAGCACAAAAAGAGAGTTTATTCACATTTCGCGTGACCACCCTTTTAGGGCTTTTTTTCTGAATTTGTATTTTCTTTGAAATCTTGAATCCGAGCAAGCCTCCCGATACAACCTGTGCACTTTTTTTGCGCCTTGATACAAGCCTCTTATCAACTACATCACCGGGAATCTTTTAGGCGAGTGTGGGGACGCCTCAAATAAACCAAATATCTTGTTTTGAAAGGCCAGAGTTCATGCGTTTCTCTAGTGAGTGCTGAAACATTGGGTGAAATTCACCCAGCATTTCGTGGTCGTGTTGCAAATGGTAAACTTAAAGTCGAAGTTTAAACTAAAATACTCTCATAGCTTATCTTAAAGGAGGGAAGGGTAATAATCGTTACCGATTCTCACTACAGACTTTTTTTTTCGAGAAAATTCATTTATTTTGTGTTTGTTTCTTAGATTTATTGCTAGAAATGATAAAAATAAATTCGCAAAATGAATTTGAGCTCAAAATAGAGTTTGTTCACATTTCGCGTCGCCAACATTTTGAGAGCTTTTTTTCTGGATTTTTGATTTTCTTTTGGTCTTAAAGATCGTGACCTCAAAACCCAAGTAAGTTGTCAACGTACAAAGAATCAATCAACAATTGTTTGATCCACTACTGGTTGCACTCGTTTGCAGTTGCGGCCAGGCTAAATTTAGCAGTTTGACGAAACTTGGACTTTAAAATATGAATAACTTTAGGAATCGTACTACTAGAGTTTTTTCTTTGAAAGCCCTACCGATCAAGATTCATATTTTTGTGTATATCGTAGAACAAACCGTCTCCGGAGTGAGATCGATCCATCCCGGTTTGCATGCGCAAATGTAAACTCCATCGTTGCAATCGTTCACGCTTTTCGTTTCTATGAGTTTATTAAATTGTATCCGATATAAAGCAAACCTTTTAGAACTGAAAAAAGAACAATCAATAGCCTCAAAGTTTTGAATAACATCTAAATGTTGAATCTTGATTGGGAAAAAGGAAATAAAATGATTTTGAGAGGCAATGTTGATTTTCTCTTTAAATCTTTCACAAATCAAGGCCAATTATTTGATTGAATCCCTTGTTTCCGCAAATTTTTATTTTCCCCGGTTTAAATGATACAAATTGTTGACATGCTGAACTTTCTTGTAAACGATTTTACATTTGCGCATGTAAACCGGGAACGATTGATCTCACTCCGGAGTTTGTTCTACGATATACACAAAAATCTGAATCTTGATCGGTAGGGCTTTCAAAGAAAAAACTTAGTAGTACGATTCCTAAAGTTATTCATATTTTAAAGTTCAAATTTTGTCAAACTGCTAAATTTAGCCTGGCCGCAACTGCAAACGAGTGCAACCAGTAATGGATCAAGCAATTGTTGATTGATTCTTTGTACGTTGACAACTTTATCCCTGGCTTTGTCAAAATTCTGCATTGAATTGAATACATAAAAATGTCCGCTTATTTTCTTGATCCTTGGAGCGCCACTTCTGCATCAGCTGTTAGATCAGTCCCACGCTTTCTGAAATTTTTTTGGCTTTACAATTTTAGTTTGAGTTGAAGCAGGATCTACCTTCAATGCTTCTACTACAATAATGGTAGTACTGCCAGGCCAAACCAGTTCAGAAGCTACCGTAAATACTGTAATTGGACCCCCCCCCCTCTAATAGTACCCCACCCTAGAGGGGGAGGGAAAAAATAATACCCCACCCCCACCTAACGCGTAATTACAAACAACGCTTTTAAAGCGGAAAATTTTCAGGTATTTTCAGAAATCGTTTGTATTTTTAATTTTATTCCATAAATTTGGGGTGGCTACTTTGCGCCAAAGTTTTTTGCGCAGCTCGCCATAACTTCCTTCTAAGTGGGCCAATCTTTATTATTGTAGATCTCAACAAGTGCAACAAAGTAACATCAAAATCATAAAGAAGACTTAGAAGACTTGAACCACTTAGAAGCCACTTGAACTCGGAGGGGATTGATATCGGTTTGGCTGAATGGATACGGGATCGTCGAGCCGAAAAGAAACGGGTGACACGCCGAATTATCTGGAATGAAGCGGCTAATCGATTCGAAAAAGCTGAAATTTCTTTCAAAAGAAGCCATGGCTGGATGGAGTCGTTCTTGAGGCGTCACCAACTTTCTTTGAGGGCACCAACAACAACTTGTCAAAAGCTGTCGAGCAAATTTGAGAGGCTATCGTCGAGCACATTCTGAGGCTGAACAAGACAATCAAAGAAGGCGACTACAAGCCCATTGTTGCTTGCGATGAGACGGCGGTTTGGCTGGATGCTTCGATGAGCAAGTGCACCGAAGCGGTTGGGGCCAAAGAAGATCGTGTTCTCACCCGCGGCTACGACAAGATGAATATATCCGTGATGCTCACTGCTCGTTCCGATGGGAAAAAGTTACGCCCTTTTGTCGTGGTGCCTCGGAAAACGATGAACGAAAAAAATCGAGACAAAGTTCCAATCAAAGTTATTGCTCTGTTGGAAAGAGAAGAAAAGCAAGTGCTTCGATAATGAGATCACGGCGGAATACTCGTAACGCTCTTCCGGTGGACTTATCTTTAATTATTATCTTTAATATATTGTACAGGCGATGAGAAATGCTCGGACAGAGACAGAAATCAAGGACCTCTTGGAGCCGCTCGCATCGACGGGATTTCAAGGACATCGAGGAATTGATGATCAAGAAAATGATAAATTCATTGATTCGGATGTTTCTATTGATTTCGCTTGTTAGTTGTTTTTGTTTCGTTTTGCTGTTAAATTTTCAAATGGCTAAAACCAATAAAAACTAAAGAAAAAGTCTGCTTTTGAACAAATTATTTGAATGTATCCTGATTTGGCAACTCGAATAGTGGTGTAAAATAGTAACCCACCCTCTAATAGTGCCCCACCCTCTAATAGTACCCCACCCTAGAGGGGGAGGGAAAAAATAGTACCCCATGGGGTCCAATTACAGTATTTACGGTAGGTACATGCCTGATTTCTAAGAAAACACAAGTAAAACCTGTAGGTTTCGTCACACATGGCTTTGTAATTTTTACGGGGCAGGAAACTAGATCCAACTAGGCTTCTAAAAGTTAAAGGGAAGCGCACCAACTTAAGATGAGCTTCTGAATCGAGCATTTGATGCAGAATTCTACGCCGATTCCGAAGCTGCTTCCGTTCTTGCAAAATGGTTTTCTATCAAAAGTTATAGAAAATTTTAAATTTGTAGTTAAAAATGAAAGTTTCCTCGCCGAAATGGGATCTCCTCATATAGTGGGCTTCTTCAGTGCCAGTCAAAGGTGGATTGGTGTCACAGCGGGTAGAGGGGCTTCTATACAAAACGATTTCTTCATTTTTCTTGCTTGGGTTCAATTCCAACCTTTGTTTTTTTCTTAGGAAAATTTCATTTTTGGCTACAAATTTAAAAGACTTATAATTTTTGATAGAGAGCCATTTTGCAAAAACGGAAAGCAGATTCGGAATCGGCGTGGAATTTGACATCGAATGGTTTGAGTCTCGATCCAAAAGCTCATCTTAAATTGGTGCACTTCCCTTGTTAGACACGTTCAGAGGCCAAGTCAGAAGCTTGCTTCTGGACTCGAAAGGCTAGGCCAGAAGCCAAACCAAGGTCGGTCTGGCTTCCTAACCAAGGTCTGGTCTGGCTTCTTGCCTGATCTGGAACAATCTTCTTGCCTGATCTACCTCTAGCTATGATCTAAAACTCACGATGGAAGCGCAAGAGTGACAGACATAGCGAGAAGCATCACGATGAGAATGAGGGACGATTGAAAACGCATTTTCGATAAGAATTTCTAAATAACTTTTTCGAGATAAGCCGACGCAAAGAGGACTTCACTTTCGCTGATCGCTTTTTTAACAAACAAACAACAAGCTTGTCTTTGATTCTTTTAGTCGAAAAATCTTCGGCATGACCTTTTTGAACTTTCAATAAAATATTTTGAATTAAAAGTATCAAAATCCTAATCTTTGATTAAGTGTATAACAATTTCTTTTGTAAATCAATGCTATTCCTAGCTCAACTTTCGTGTTTAGTTAAAGCAAGCTTCCAAAGAGCTTTCAAAAACTTTTAAAATCAACTTTTAATTAAATCAAATGTTAAATCAATCTTTATTGGCGCTAAACTTCAAGAGTTACACTTCAAGAACAGTTTGAATTGATAGTTTTTCTTTCAATTTTCATAGATTCAAAAGTTGAGTTCAAGCCGATGCGCCGAGTACTATTTGAGTGCAAGTCGAGAACAAAAGTAGATAACCACTTCATTTCTAAACTTTTGATTTTTAGCTTTTTAATCGAATCTCGCAGCAATCAGCTGTGTTTTTTGGTTTGATGACGCTTCAAATAAAGTTTACAATCGTTTTCGTAAAGTTCTATTTCATCAGAACAAAATCTTTTTAAAGAAAAAGTCCAAGAAAATGATAAGCTCGAATGGTTATTCATAAAAAAAGGCCAAAAAGGAGGAGCGATTTGTTTTTTTTTGCTATAGTAATTTTTTATTCAGTAGAAAATCACAAAGAATGTGATCGGATCTGGGCGACTGATCTAACAATTTTTAATAGAGAAAAGTGACCAAATGACAGATTCGCCGGAGAGAAGTCGACTAGCGCTCATTCAAACGCTTGTTAAATGAGTTGTATAAGTCCAATCGGGATGTTTTTGGTAGATAAATGTAGCCAAGATTGAGGACTACAATTCTCTAAATAACACTTGCCACTTTTGAAATAAAATAGACATTTCCCAGATACTTTTCCAAAAAGGTGTTGCGGTAATACTTGGTAATTCCGAATCTGCTTTCCGTTTTTGCAAAATGCCTCTCTAACAAAAGTTATCAACATTTTAAATTTGCAGCCAAAAAATGAAATTTTTCTCGCCGAAATGGGATCTTCTTTTATAATGGGCTTCTATAGTGCCAGGCAAAGGTGGATTGGCGTCATAGTGGGTAGAGGGGCTTCTATACAAAACGATTTCTTCATTTTTCTTGCTTGGGTTCAATTCCATCCTTTGTTTTTTTATTAGGAAAATTTCATTTTTGGCTACAAATTTAAAAGGTTTATAGCTTTTGATAGAGAGCCATTTTGCAAAAACGGAAAGCAGATTCGGAATCGGCGTAGAATTCGGCATCGAATGGTCTGGGTCTCGATCCAAAAGCTCATCTTAAGTTGGTACACTTCCCTTGTTAGACAAGTCCAAGTCAGGAGCTTCCTGACTCCAGAAGCCAAGTCAAGAGCTTGCTTCTGGACTCTAAATGCTAAGCCAGAAGCCAAACCAAGATCTGGCGCTTTGCCTGCTTGATCTGGAACAACTCTACCTCTAGCTATGATCTAAAACTCACGATGGAAGCGCAAGAGTGACGGACATAGCGAGAAGCATCACGAGGAGAATGAGGAACGTTTGAAAACGCATTTTCGATAAGAATTTCTAAATAACTTTCACGGTAAAATACTTTAAGCACAAAAGGTTTTTCAGTAAGCAATTTTTAGATTTAGATCTTCTTTGAAACTTTGTTTCCCTTTTTATATTCGCCCGAAAAGAGTATCAATGATTATATACAATGCCAAATGATATCTTTTTGTCAATTTTTCAAATCAGATCAATCATTTTCGTTTACTGAAACAAATCTTTTTAGACTTTTTACGGATCACAGAAAAATTTGAGCATTTTAAAGCTCGCAAAAATGTTTCAGCTGATTAAATATGTTTTACAAAAAATACGGAAAAGTCTACCAACTTTCAAGTTGCCAATCTAATAGAAAGTTCGGAGACAAGTTAATCAAATTTGCTTAAGCCTTTCTTAAATTCGATAATATAGAACTTTTATTTAGAGAAGTTGAATTCAATTGGCGTATTAAATATGTTTTATAGAAAATACGAAAAAATGTACTCACTTTCAAGTTGGCAATCTAATAATCCTAAAAGTTTAGTGAAAAGAAGCTTTTATCTGGTCAGCTACAGCAAAGTCCGCAGTCTGCAGATGTAAGACCAAATTTTATCAATTTACAACAGTTTGTATAGCAAAGGATTTCTGTAAAAGACAATTTTCTTGTGTTTCTTTTCATCGAAGCAAAGAAATCCGATGAAAACATTAAAAGTTTCCTTTCTGTCTAGTATAAAACTCTTTCTAGATTAAAATCTGGCGAAAAATCGGGTAAAGGCTTTGGAATGGAAAACCTGATTCTAAATAGTTTATTGATCCTAATTGCAAGCACAAAGGGGCCTTTCAGGCCGGATTTTTCCGAACCAAACATAACTCCTTCCTTACGTGTATCCCTACGTGTATGTGTGTATGATGAAAGGATACGCATAGCGAAGGAGTCGTCTTTGATTCAAAGAAATCGGGTAAAGGCTTTGGAATGGAAAACCTGACTCTAAATAGTTTATCGATCCTAATCGCAAGCACAAAGGACAAAAAATTTACAACATGAAAAATTAACCTTTAAAATACATTACAAATCCATAGTGAACAAAATACAGCTTTCAACTGAAAATCAGGAATAAATTTTGTGCACTATCATATGTCATCACCAAAAAAACCTCCAATATGAGCCAGCTTCCGGGGCCGGGCACTAGTCGAACCATGTAGATTCTAAAACAATTTTGTAATAAATAGTTTCATCGAACGTAATCCATATATTAGAGAAATCCATGCTAAAACATACCCAATACTGCCTGGTGCAGAAGCGTCTACCCTAGCATCAACGTCAAGCTGAACGACGTCCCCATTTGCTCTTTTCAAACGAATCTCGTGATAGTTGGAAGCATTCGCAATCAGTTTAACACCTGACAATCCAAGTAAGTTGCGCAAGAACTAAAAATTGAACATTTTATCGGGAAAAGTTCGAATTGCTTGAAGGACTATCTAGGCAATCTAGACTAGAATAGTTGAGTCGACCTTGCGGTCCTTTTAAGAAATGCATCCAAATTATCTTTAGCAAAATAAAAGCGTTAAAAGAGCTCACATTTTGGAGTTCTGCTTTCCCACCAACTGCTCGAAGGTTAATTTCATCAATTTGACGCTCTGAAGTGTACCAGTTTTGGATCATCCTTAAAACCCCATTAAGAGTGCATCCAGGTCTTTGAAATGCACCGTTATAACTCAAAAGACATAAATTCGACAAGATCTAAACAATTAATATTATGCGGAGTAAGCCTCGTAGCAAAAATTATTCCTTGACCGTTAAATCAAAACAAACCGTGTCATTTAATGGATCAACCATGGCCTTGCCTCCAACATCAAACCGAACGTTTTGCAATCCAACCGCATGATTATTGGTGAAAAAATCGCTCGTAACAGGAACATTTTGTTTGTCTCCATTCACCTTCATCAGCCTAATTTTGATTTGTTCAATACAAACTTACAAAAATAGTTAGCTGGCGCGTAGGCCTTGTACGGCAAAATACATCCATGAATCTTTCCGGCGAAAGAGTCGTCTCTTCGATATCACAATATAATTCCTCGCATCGGAATAATTCCTTGCAATTTGCAAACACTTCCCAATCGACGTCCCACTTAAAGACACATTTTAAGTACTAGAAAATACCAGGGAACACTAACCAAAACGAGTCTCTTGAAAGTCACACGCTTTGCCAAATACTCCAAATGGTGCATCAAATTAGTTGGATCGATTGTTTCCTTATATGAGGTGATTGTTCCAAAGCGATAGGAAAACTACAACCTACGTTTTTGTAACTAACGCAACAATCCTTACCTCGTTCCTAAAAACACCAAGCCAATTGAAGCAAACGCGAGGAAGTCTTGCTCTGCGCAGCTCGACCCTTCTATAGCAATCCCTTGAGAGTAGTCGAACAGTGCTAAAGCAAAGATTAGAATTAGAAAACGCAGGCATGAAACTTTTCGATGACGCGTGCAGGAAGTTTCTCAATCACCGCATAGAAAAGGACATCGGGAAGTGTTTCGAGGAAGTTGACAGAAGAGGTCGGCTGAAACAAAACTGGTACAAAACGTACATTGGGAAGCAATCACAAACTACGATATTTAAAGCGAATTATAGGCTAAATGCTTACATTCAGTTGCTCCTTCCTAAGGCTTTCCATGATCTCTGCTGGGTTTATCATCATTGCAAACTACCGTTCTAAAAAAAGCTTGTATAGAAGGGACGAGCAAAGAGTTAGATAACTAAAAGAAACGAGATCGTGAGAACAAAGATGAAAAATGGGCAGAGCAAAACCAAAAAGGGTAGTAATCCACGGTTATAAGGCTTTTGTTTGAGAATAGAGTATTCAATCAAACATCAAAAAGATTCATGTATATTTTTCGCATTAAAGATTAAAAAATTCATGTTATAAAAAGGCGTGCGGTAAAAGCCCGAGGCATATAAGAATGTTGAACTAAACTGTTCTTAGTCAATTTCTGAATAAACTTGGTAAACCTAAACAATGTACATGTGGAACATCAAATCATACTTGAATGAAAAAGCAAGACCTGTATGAAAAAACTTAAGTTGGCCTTAAACTCAAGGATCAAGTGGAACTGTTCTCAACAATTAGATCAACTCGACAATTTTGCAAAAATCTTCTGAAAATTATAGATTTAATGAAAATTTTGATTTTAAGAATGCACAATCAACCTTTCGTTTTGGTCCCTCGACCGGTTCTCCATTTCATTCACCATTTCTCTCTCGAAATCAAAAGTGTTGAAGCGAAAGCTGTTGTTATTCGTTGACACTCAACGTTCTTGCCGATAATGGATAATATTGTCTTTTAGTGTACACCGAACTTTTTCCACCCAACCAACGTGCCTTTTCTTCTACGTTTGCGCCAGTTGTGGTCAAATTTATTTGAATGAATATTAAACGAAATCAGAAGAAAAATTGATGATTGATAAAATGATTTCCGACTAAACACAACAACTTTTCAAAATTGCTTCACAAAGGTAGGCTCTGGTTAACCCAAATCAAAAAAGCTTGTTATTTGCATAGACCATAAAGACACCTCATCGATATCGTCTTCAGTGAAACTTCTTGCAAAAAGCGTGTTTGTCAGCAGATCCAAAACAGTAGCTACAATTTGATTGAGAGCCGATAGTAGAGCAAGTGTATCCTAAACAGATATTGATTGACGAGTTTGCTAATGAACAATGCCTGGGCATACGCGATCAAGTAAAACGCTTGGCCATATCAGCAGCAATGACGTCGGCAGCAACCCAATTTTTCACCATAATTGCTTCGATGAATCTAAAAAATGACATGAGCCTCATCCAGCTAGCGCGCGAAAAACGGCCAAAAAAGGAGGAAGGGGGGAGGATTTTCGGAAATTTTATTGAGTTTGGGGGAGTTTGGGGGGGCCAAAAAATTTAAAATAAAAAAAATAAGGATTTAAAATTTTGGGGGGTATTCGAATGACCGCACGAGAGAATGGTGACGAACAAAAAGCACCCAAAATAGCGTTCGCTTTCGATGGCTCAACTTTTTCTTCCACTAAATACAATTCATTATAACAGTTCAAGCCTCATTATTCTTTATTAAAAAACGACTCACCAGCCCAGGACGCTAAGTCGATCGCTGCTTGCTGGAGAATTTGTTGTGCTGCTTCGATATTCTTCAAGACGATGTGGAAGTCGATCAGTCGCACAGCTTCATCTTTGTTGACCTTCCATTCAGTTGTCAGCCTGCTTAGCTTACTAAATCGTAAAGTTTAAATAGCTGGATCGCAAACACCAACCGTATTTTTTCACCCCTTTCTTGTACAACCATTCTCCCGAAGCAGCGCGAACAGTCGACCAGTTGAACCTCCCGGTCGAGCGGCGACCAAATCGGTGAGCATCTTGTCGTATGTGATTCCTTGACCCGTTTCGAGTTTTCTTAGACTGCTTTCATCGTGGTCACTGATTACATTTGGCTGGGGCTACCACGCAGAAATTTTGAATGCCTTTTAGAAAGTCAAAGTCGCAATGTTTCAATTAAGCTGAAAGCTGGTTTTAATTTCTATCAGAGTACGGGTAGCTCCTCTTCAAGCAACGCCGACTGTAGCCTTTACTGCAGCTGGGCTACGGTAGCTAAACTGATATAGATTGCAGACCCAAAATTTCAGCTAACCGCTGACAAAATGTGATCCAATGAGACAAAATATTTGCGACAATGGGGCGTGGATTTTCTGTTGTTGTCTTCTGTGCTACCTGTAAGTCGACAAAACCATAAAAATAGCGATCTAGGATTTCCTTTTAAATGAATAGTTTTAAAACAGTAACAGATTATTTGCTTGTAACTGTTTCAATTCAAGCTATTTACATTGGAATGGGCAAATTTGAATTTAACGACCAGATAAAAAGACATCACTGAACCTTTCAGTCTTCAAAATATTCAATTGCTATCCAAACATGGTTGGTTTTTTATATCCTTCTTATTTTCTCATTTTGGCAGTTGCCTTATAAATTGATTTTCACTGTTTATCTTAACAAGTCTAGTCTCGATATAACGACTCTCGATTCAACGACTTTGACTTTCTAAAAGGCATTCAAAATTTCTGCGTGGCAGCCCCAGCCAAATGTAATCAGTGACCACGTCAGTACAACTCAGGGCAGCTACGCAGAGAATTTGGGGCACATTTTAGGGTCCTTATATCGAAATTTTCGCTCCAGAGCGAGTCGTTATATCGAGTGTGTTGTGTATTTTGTTAGAAGTGCTTGTAGTTGCTAAATACCAGTACGTTACTTAAAGTTCCCTAGGAATTTAACCGCTGTTTTTTGTGTAGATGCAAAATTGTAGCCTTTTTGCTCAAATTTAATCACGACAATTTTTTATCTAAAGCTAAAGTTGTTATAAAGTTAACTTTAACTCTTATTAAAGTTTTTTTGCAGCTCGTTTATCAGTTGCACCTTCTCGGAGTGTTGTTGATCTTGACAACAAATGAAGCTAGTGCTGCTCAGAAGGTAAGTATTTATCGTGTTATTCTAAAGTGTTGGTAAATATGTTTTTATTCCTTTTTAATTTAGGAATGCACGAAAGGATTTCCGTTCGCTTGTTTTGTTCATCTGTGGGAAAACGAAAATAATGCTGGAAAAGAGTTCGTTCACGCTTTCAACACTGAAACATTCTTCGAGGCTTATGTAAGTTTTACTGACTTTAAAAACCTCTAATTTTTTAACCAGTAAACTATTCTTTGACAGAGTATGATGTGTTTCTTTTATTTAGTGCAAAGATGTCGAGAAATGCAATTCGGATTGCCGCACTACCGGAGCAATAGTCAACAAATCTGATGTCAGAAACAAGGGTTTCGTATTCAGGTGCAACCCGAGGAACCTTTTTTGTGTTGGTTTTTTTCAAATTATCGATTTTTAATCGGTGAATATTTATGTTTTTAGAACGAAAAGAAGAACGTGGAGTGCATCCCTATTAGAAAGGTGTACCGATTGTCTGAAAAGGGCGTTGCCTCTCAATCACAACCCGCACCCCAAGAACCCATTGAGAAAACGAGTAAGGAAACCAAGACAACAACGCAAGAATCGCTACCAGCGCTACCAGACGTCAATCGGCAATTTGGTGACTGGATTTTTTAAATTTGTTAGAGCTTGGGTTTTAGCTCTGCATAAACGGGATAATAGAAGAAAAAGGAAAGTGCCACCTGCACCCGTTCCAAGCAATGGCGATTCATTTGTGCCTAACCTGGTCGAAATTCAGGTGACTTTTTTTGTCTGTTTGTTACCATATTTACATTTTTAGACAATTGTGCTCCCGATTTGTCGCCGAGAGGACACGGAGAAAGATTGCATGGCATTGACGAGTGGACGTTTCTGCACCATCAAGGAGGCGGTTATAAGATACCCCTCGCACCAATATCTGCCTTGGAGTGACATAAAAGACATTTGTACAGTTGTCGAATCTCCACTGGGAGGTGAAAGTCCGAAGTGAGTGTTTTAAATGCTATGAACATCTTAGAATTTGGCTTTAAAGAATAAAATTTTGGTAGCCAGCAATAGCTTTTAACTTTAAAGTAGACTTTTAAAGGTTTTTATCGCAAACCTAATTGTAATGTTTTAGATGGTTTGCCGAACACGTGGAAAATAAAAAGGAAAACCTGGGATCAATGGAAGTTGTATGGGAATACACCGGTTTTCCTTTTGACATAGTCACCAACAAGAGCTCACCGTTTTTGGCACATCGATTCGATTATGGGACAAAGGTAGCTTAACCTCCTGATTTTAGCACAACTTATGTAGCTGTTATTATAAGTTTTCTTTTTAGAAATGCAGAAAATATGCAGAGAATACGGAGAACTGTCTGCCGCTTCCAATATGTGATGATGGAAAGCATTTCATCACACACCGCATCCGAATGAGGAACGTTGTGAATCCAAATGACGGTTACTATGTTGAACGAGGAGAATCCGAGTGCGAAAGGGCATGCGAAGCTTGGGAGTGAGTTTAACGTTTTAACTTACCAGTTAATCACTTACGTTTTGGGGAGTCGACGCTCGATAATCCATGCCGTATCTTGGACATCGAACATTTGCCACTTCATCGCCAGAACAGTCCACCATATGCCAAGTTTGCAACCCTTGCCGCTAACCTGCAGAGGCGTAAATTTGGTAAGCGATTTGTGATATAACACTTGATGACCTCTTTTTAGGTTTGACTGGACGCAACGAGATGCCCCATATGCCTGAAGTCACCACTGAAAAGGCGCCACTTGCCAGACGTGACGCTGCGAACATTCCCACTCGTTATTATGGTCGTCCTATTGATTTGGAAACTGTGAATGTGAGTTATTTTTATAAGTGTTCGTAAACTAGTGGTTTCGATTTAGGAGGAGGATCGCGCAGCTATAGAATCCAACTACTGGCTCTCGACGAATAGAAACGCGTTTTATAAGAAATACGGCGACAAGATCAAACTCGCAAAAGCATCAATGTGCACTTCCGATTCGAAAGAGACTGTTTGTTTGAAATTATGTTTAAATTTTATTTTCATTTAGTTCTGCCGTTCTCCTCCAACAACTCCAAATCCAAATGCGAACAACACGTGCCATAATTCCACAACGACCGCAAAGGTGGAACAAGAAAGCAGCAGCTTGCCGTGGTGGACGATTCTGCTAAGTGAATTCGGCGTTTTTGTTTGTTAAACATCCTTTTTTTTAGTCGTGCTTGCTGGTCTTACGGTTACTTGGTTCGTTGTCCTTCTCGTGTGGTGGAAAGGCTGCTTTGGATTGTCTGAAGGTTTGTTAATTTTTCTCCTCTAGTTTGATTGTTCTCTTTGATAATCGTTCTTTTCGCTATTATCAATCTTCTTTAGAGAGAAAGACCACAAGAGGGGGGAAAGAAAAAAGGAAAATTTTTCCCTCCCGCCAGGCAAGGAAAAAAAGCAAGTCCTGGGCAAAAGGAACTACTTTTACCGTCTCTTCTCTATCTGGTGACTCCTCGCATTCAACTCCTCCAGCTCAAGACCGAACTTCTGAAACTAAAGTAAAATCTTATTTTATTCAAAGGCCTATTTCATTTGTTTAGTTTGTTGTTCGGAACTTGGAAGACTGCTTTTCCCAAGCCATATCTAAGGTAACTTTATAAAATAGGAAGATGGGAATCGATCTGAAAAATAAAGTCTATAATTAAAAGGGGTTTTATCAATTAATGGTCAATTTTCTTATTTTTAGACTTTGCAAGAGCGGGCAGAGCTTTGGGAAAAGAAGAAGGACGAGAAAGAATTGGCTGAACGTTTTGGTGGGTTTATTTGTTTTTAGATTTAAACAATTCTAAACTCATGAAGTGCTAGTGAATTATAAACTATTTTGTTTGAATGATTTGATATTTTGCTGGTACAATGGCTATTTATTTGTTAATTTTACAGGTTTTCCGACGAAATGGCGAAGCAAAGACTGTCATCAGCAATTCAACAAGGGCAACATCTATATTTACACCGATGGTTCACGGGCCAATGATAAAACAGGAACGACTGGGATCGGAACGTTTTATGGAATAGGCCACCCACTGAATTTGTAAGTGTTTTTAACTATAGTAGTGAACAGTAAAACTAGAAAACGACTTTAAATGGTAACTGAATATAGGAGTTTTTTTAGGAAATAAAATATTGATTGATGTTTGAATGATCTAGTAAAAAGATTTTTAAATACAGTTTTCAAAAATTTTTTTGAGTTTAGAGGTCTAAACATCGGGCCCACGGATCACGCATTTTTTGGGGAATTGCTAGCGATAAATGTCGCTCTGCATCGTCTACTGCTATGGGGAGGATTTGGGTAAGCATTCTTACTTGTATAATAGTAATAAATCTTAACAATTTTCCCTATAAGAAGATTTTTGATATTTTAGAAATCGAGATGTCATACTTCGTACCGATTGTGTGAATGTAATCATCGCATTGAAGAATGAGGAAGACAGGAAGCTAAATCAGCCTCTGATCGACAAAGACCAGCCGCTTGGCTGGACTTTAAACAGGGACGAAAAAAAACCGTTGGTCTTTACATTTGGATTTGTTTATAATTTGCGTTTAGGGTGAAGAATCTACATTTCCTTTTGAAACGATTCCCCAAAGTCACCATGCAATGGGTTCCCAGCCACGTTGGAGATGCAGGAAACGATCATGTAATGCTTTTGAATATGTTCTTTAAGAAATAAATTTATAATTCTTTCTTATTTTTAGGCCGACGCACTTGCTCACTATGGTAGGTGTGGTTCTGTAAAGCACTGGAAGCCAGACGTGGATGACGTAAAGAAGAGGGAGCTGGGTAGCAAGTTCTGGCATTCCAGAAATGACACGAACATTACATTCGGTAAATTCTTAAATGTTTTTTTGATTTATTTACTGTCTATTTTTAGAAAATCGAAACGTCGACCAGACCAGTCGACCAGAAGAAGTTGCTTACCCTGAAGATGGTGCGATTCAAAAGATTCTGAAAAAGCAAGAAATTCAAATTGATATTATTCGCGAAATTAATAAGAAGCAATGAAATAAATTTTTATTATATTTTAAAATTTTTTATCATCAACAATCACGCGTGAAAAGAAATCGTGTAAATATGGATTTCCAGCCGTATCACTGAAATTGTCACACTTTGTGCCCTCGCAAACGCATCCTTTCTGGCGCACTCATTCATTCTTGATCAGGTGAGTGTGCCAGAGAGCGTGTTTCTCTCAACTGATGCTCGCAAAGTCTGCGCCAGTCTGTCGTTTTTGATCGTTTTTCGCGCGCTAGCTGGATGAGGCTGATGTCATTTTTTAGATTCATCGAAGCAATCATGGTGAAAAATTGGGTTGCTGCCGACGTCATTGCTGCTGATATGGCCAAGCGTTTTACTTCATCGCGTATGCCCAGGCATTGTTCATTAACAAACTCGTCAATCAATATCTGTTTAGGATACACTTGCTCTACTATCGGCTCTCAATCAAATTGTAGCTACTGTTTTGGATCTGCTGACAAACACGCTTTTTGCAAGAAGTTTCACTGAAGACGATATCGATGAGGTGTCTTTATGGTCTATGCAAATAACAAGCTTTTTTGATTTGGGTTAACCAGAGCCAACCTTTGTGAAGCAATTTTGAAAAGTTGTTGTGTTTAGTCGGAAATCATTTTATCAATCATCAATTTTTCTTCTGATTTCGTTTAATATTCATTCAAATAAATTTGACCATATACCATAACATATCAAATTTCTAGCGGCTCTCCTTTTGAAACCTGATCGAAACCGATGCATTTGCATTTTCGTCTTTCACTTTTCCTTGTCTGAAATGAAAATTGAGTTGATTGAATGTCTTTATTTAACGATTTCCCGAATTTAACTCAATTTCTTCATTCACACATTTCACGACAACATCATAGGGATGCTGATTGTGATTGCGATTGTGTACAAGAGCTTTCGCTTCAACACCAAATTTCCCGGGGGATAAATCACTTAGTGTTTTTAACTGAAATTTGGATTTCAAACGAGTAGAACCTCCTTTTTCGTATAGACACTTTTGATTTCGAGAGAGAAATGGTGAATGAAATGGAGAACCGGTCGAGGGACCAAAACGAAAGGTTGATTGTTGCATTCTTAAAATCAAAATTTTCATTAAATTTATAATTTTAAGAAGATTTTAAGAAGACTACCCTTTTTGGTTTTGCTCTGCCCATTTTTCATCTTTGTTCTCACGATCTCGTTTCTTTTAGCTATCTAACTCTTTGCTCGTCCCTTCTATACAAGCTTTTTTTAGAACGGTAGTTTGCAATGATGATAAACCCAGCCGAGATCATGGAAAGCCTTAGGAAGGAGCAACTGAATGTAAGCATTTAGCCTATAATTCGCTTTAAATATTGTAGTTTGTGATTGCTTCCCAATGTACGTTTTGTACCAGTTTTGTTTCAGCCGACCTCTTCTGTCAACTTCCTCGAAGCACTTCCCGATGTCCTTTTCTATGCGGTGATTGAGAAACTTCCTGCACGCGTCATCGAAAAGTTTCATGCCTGCGTTTTCTAATTCTAATCTTTGCTTTAGCACTGTTCGACTACTCTCAAGGGATTGCTATAGAAGGGTCGAGCTGCGCAGAGCAAGACTTCCTCGCGTTTGTTTCAATTGGCTTGATGTTTATAGGAACGAGGTAAGGATTGTTGCGTTAGTTACAGAAACGTAGGTTGTAGTTTTCCTATCGCTTTGGAACAATCATCTCATATGAAGAAACAATCGATCCAACTAATTTGATGCACCATTTGGAGTATTTGGCAAAGCGTGTGACTTTCAAGAGACTCGTTTTGGTTAGTGTTCCCTGGTGTTTTCTAGTACTTAAAATGTGTCTTTAAGTGGGACGTCGATTGGGAAGTGTTTGCAAATTGCAAGGAATTATTCCGATGCGAGGAATTATATTGTGATATCGAAGAGACGACTCTTTCGCCGGAAAGATTCATGGATGTATTTTGCCGTACAAGGCCTACGCACCAGCTAACTATTTTTGTAAGTTTGTATTGAACAAATCAAAATTAGCCTGATGAAGGTGAATGGAGACAAACAAAATGTTCCTGTTACGAGCGATTTTTTCACCAATAAGCATGCGGTTGGATTGCAAAATGTTTGCTTTCGTAATGGAAGAGGCAAGGCCATGGTTGATCCATTAAATGACACGGTTTGTTTTGATTTAACGGTCAAGGAATAATTTTTGCTACGACGCTTACTCCGCATAATATTTATTGTTTAGATCTTGTCGAATTTTCGTCTTTTGAGTTTTAACGGTGTATTTCAAAGGCCTGGATGCACTCTTAATGGGGTTTTAAGGATGATGCAAAACTGGTACACTTCAGAGCGTCAAATTGATGAAATTAACCTTCGAGCAGTTGGTGGGAAAGCAGAACTCCAAAATGTGAGCTCTTTTAACGCTTTTATTTTGCTGAAGATAATTTGGATGCATTTCTTAAAAGGACCGCAAGGTCGACTCAACTATTCTAGTCTAGATTGCCTAGATAGTCCTTCAAGCAATTCGAACTTTTCCCGATAAAATGTTCAATTTTTAGTTCTTGCGCAACTTACTTGGATTGTCAGGTGTGAAACTGATTGCGAATGCTTACAACTATCATGAGATTCGTTTGAAAAGAGCAAATGGCGACGTCGTTCAGCTTGACGTTAATGCTAATGTAGACGATTATGCACCAGGCAGTATTGGGTATCTTTTAGCATGGATTTCTCTAATATATGGATTACGTTCGATGAAACTATTTATTACAAAATTGTTTTAGAATCTACATGGTTCGGCTAGTGCCCGGCCCGGAAGCTGGCTCATATTGGAGGTTTTTTTGGTGATGGCATATGATAGTGCACAAAATTTATTCCTGATTTTGAGTTGAAAGCTGTATTTTGTTCACTATGGATTTGTAATGTATTTTAAAGGTTAATTTTTCATGCTGTAAAATTTTTGTCCTTTGTGCTTGCAATTAGGATCAATAAACTATTTAGAATCAGGTTTTCCATTCCAAAGCCTTTACCCGATTTCTTTGAATCAAAGACGACTCCTTCGCTATGCGTATCCTTTCATCATACACACATACACGTAGGGATACACGTAAGGAAGGAGTTATGTTTGATTCAGAAAAATCCGGCCTGAAAGGCCCTGGAACACACTGCAATCGCGATCAAAGTGAAGTGTTTTTAATTCAAATTTTTTCAAAAGCTTGATAAAAGCTGAATCTATCACTCTTAATTGGTGAATGACAAGCCAATTAAAGATATAAATGTAAGAATTTGAAATATTGACTTTAAAAAATGCTTGTTGTTGACACAATTCTTAGTTTTATCAAGAAGATTGTATTTCTCGAGAATGAATTGCTCATCTCGATCGAGAATTTCTCGAGATTATCTCGAGTTTCAGAGAACGAGAAAATTCATTTTCTGAAAAAACTTTCAATTACTCAAGTCTATTGTTAAATTTCGTACTAAATTTTTCTTACAATTTCTTACAAAGACAAGAATCCACTTTTAACACAAAAAACAAAATTTTTCGATTCCAGTGTTTAGTGTAGGAGGAGATGTAGATCGGATTAGCGGAATAGATCATTTTTCTGTTCAGATTTTGATTGAAAAATAGAGAAAAATTCACAAGATTGGATTGGAATTGGAATATGTATGAAAAATTATAGAAAAAAAAACGTTTAATTAGTGGAAAATTTTGTGTAAACAAGATTAGGGGAGTTTAATGATATAAAATTGATCAATTTTTGATACTTTTTCATCTAATATCAACAAGAAGAAGACTAGAATTTTATAAAATTAAAACTGGAAAAGCAACTGAAGTTAAGTTTCAACTTTTTTACGATATTTTTATGTGCCGTATTCTCTCTAATAGTAGTGCACCCTGAGCGTACACATTTTATCTGAGTAATCTGACACATTTTCGGCTTCATATAAGGCGTAACCCTTATTATGGGCCATCTTATGATACCGTATTCTCTCTAATAGTAGTGCACCCTGAGCGTCGTCTAAATTCCTCGAAATCTCGAGAACCGCTTGTCAGAACCTATCGATGTGGGGTCGGAAAATGTAGCTGACGACGAGATCTAGTGGAGGATTAGAGTGTTGAGCTTCTGGGAAAAATTGGAAACCGGAAAATAGGCATCAACTCGGCTCGGTGCGGTGCACTGCTATTAGAGAAAATACGGTAAACATTGTAGCAGACGGACAGACGGACACTGCTCTTTTATTTTGATTCAAAAACTAAAGAACTACGAATAAAGAAGTCATAAATCATCATAGCTTTTTTATACGAAAGCTCTTTGAGCCGCACACAAATCTTTTACGGCAAACTGCCAAAATCTTTTCAATTTTTTAGCCATCCTTGAAGTTTAGATTAATCTCAAACAAGAATTTAAAAACCTTTAATATTCTGATGAATATTAACGTTAATGTGAATATTAACGTGCTAAAAATGTTAGAAAATAATTTTAAAAGTGTTTATGCTAACATTTATTTAAATAGAAACTCTCTCGTATCAAAGTCAACAGATTTTGGTGTTTTTATCGTAAAAGTTTCTCGAAAAAGCCCCAGAAAGAGTATCTAATATCAAATTTAGTTGATTTTAATTGAGAAAGAAGCTTAAAATTTTGTGTAAATTGTTTAATTTGATGCTAAGGATCTGTATAAACATTGGAAGTTGACTAATTTTGGTAGCGTGCCGTCGACCACTTGTGCGAGGCTTAAAGGACCAACATAAAGTTATGATATACCAACATAAAAAAAGTTATGATGAGCCATTAGCATTAGAAATACAATCTTCTTGATAAAACTAAGAATTTTGTCAACAACAAGCATTTTTTAAAGTCAATATTTCAAATTCCTACATTTATATCTTTATTTGGCTTGTCATTCACTAATTAAGAGTGATAGATTCAGCTTTTATCAAGCTTTTGAAAAAGTTTGAATTAAAAACACTTCACTTTGATCGCGATTGCAGTGTGTTCCAGTTTCTAAAACATGTCAACTTTGGAAAGTTACCGTAATCTTGTCTGTTGCTTTATAAATTAAACGTTTACCAATTGATCTACGGTTTTGCGTCAAATAGAAGATATTTAATATACAATTTTCTATCTTTTTATCTTTTTACGCCAATCTGGGCTCGTTTCCAAGAAAATTCAAGCGCAAGAACTTGTTTTGCGTAAAATTCGATGAAAGGTGATATTAAATGAATTCGCTGAACAGTTTATTCTGTAAAATTTGGCTATAAACCCAACTTTTTGTGTTCTATTTTTTATCTATTGACACAAAGGTCGGTTTCTTTGGACAAAAGCGTCTAAATTGCATCATCGAGGCCTTTTTGGCTGACCGAGTTCGCACCTCCGAACAAAAAAACCAAAAACAAAACATTTCTTAAGATTTGAACGAGCTTTTATAGAAAAATATTCGGTTTTTTTCTAATGGAGCAAAGCGTAGGTCAATTGGTGATTTGGTTATCTCTGAATAGCTTTTTAAATGAAGTGTCCAGCATAGCGGCCAATCTAATATTAGATTGAGTACTAATTCTTGATAACACTTTTTGTTTCTTGTTTCATCAAAGAGCAAGGCATAGCTGCTTATAAATAATCAGACACGTATGCCCTAAAAAAAGTTTCCTTGAAGCCCAGTCATTAGATCGGAATGAAACTTTGCTCAAAGTTAGGCAATGCGTGTCTGACTATTTATAAACAGCTATGCCTTGCTCTTTGATGAAACAAAAAACAAAACGTGTTATCACGAATTAGTACTCAATCTAATACTTTTGATAGCTTCGGTATTCCCCCTGACAGACTAGACCAAAAGTTAGATTAGAGCAGTTAAACTAAAGGCAAGCTGTACTTTTGTACTTTTAATGGCAAGCCATACTTTGGGCACCCTGCATCTCTGATATCTCTGCAAAATCTGCGTTTGGAGTATGCTCGTGAGAACTTTTACAATCATAAGCTCCTCAAATGATCAAAGTTCGCTCAGAATAGCAAAATGCTAGAGCAGCACTTTTGCTTATAATATCTGAAATTTTGGAACGTGGCTAACTTTTTAGTTGATTGGATTTCGAGATAAGCCGACGCAAAGAGGACTTCACTTTCACTGATCGCTATTTTAGCAAAATCTTTGATTGTTTTAGTTGAAAAATCTTTGACATGACCTTTTTGAAATTTCAATAAATAATTTTGCATTAAAAGTATCAAACTCCTGATCTTTGATTAAGTGTATAACAATTTCTTTTGTAAATTAATGCTATTCCTAGCTCAAGTTTAGTGATTAGTTAAAGCAAGATGCCAAAGAGCTTTCAAAAACTTTTAAAATCAACTTTTAATTTAATCAAATGTTAAATCAATCTTTATTGGTGCTAAACTTCAAGAGTTACACTTCAAGAACAGTTTGAATTGATAGTTTTTCTTTCAGTTTTGATAGATTCAAAAGTTGAGTTCAAACCGATGCGTCAAGTACTATTTGAGTGCAACTCGAGAACAAAATTCGATAACCACTTCATTTCTAAACTTTTGATTTTCAGCTTTTTAATCGAATCTCGCAGTAATCAGCTGTGTTTTTTGGTTTGATGACGCTTCAAATAAAGCTTACAATCGTTTTCGTAAAGTTTTATTTCATCAGAACAAAATCTTTTTAAAGAAACAGTCCAAGAAAATGATAAGCTCGAATGGTTATTCATAAAAAAAGGCCAAAAAGGAGGAGCGATTTGTTTTTTTGGCGATAGTAAACTCCATGTACTACTAATTCTTTTTGAAATGTCAAGGTCGTTTTGGGTTTTCGAATTGGTAAATGAGCAAGAGTTGTTTTCCTGACCATTTTCAATCTCAGCTTTAGCTCGATCAGCTCAGATTTCGTTTGTAGACTTTATAGACTCGAATAAATGGTTTCTAAAACATGAAAGCTTTCGATAAATACCCTACGCTTGTCTATTTAGTGTTATTCAATCTATCTGCCATCTTTATCTCCATCGATACTCTTTGTAAACTTGAGGTAAAGCCGGAAAATAGAGTATAGAACAAACCTACAGGTAAGATTACGGTAAGATTAGCTTCTAAAAGTTGATATCTTTTAGAAAACGCGCTCATTTTATATCCTCTATCTACCTCAATTTTTCAAAGATTGTGGGACATTTAATACGCGCCCGGTCCCTTTTTCCATTGGCAATCCAACTTTGAACTCAAATATCTTGGTGTTGGGCGATTCAATTTAAATATTCTTGGTATCATTGGATGCGCCGAGTCTTTCTCTGTTGATTGGTAGAAAAACTATTTTAATTGGACGGCCCAACACCAAGATATTTGAGCTCAAAGTTGGATTGCCAATGGCAAAAAATATAAGCCCCTAAACTCCGCCCCTTTGCCATTGGCAATCCAACTTTTAGCTCCAATATCTTGCTTTTGGACAGTCCAATTTAAATACCTTTTGTACCAATCGACAGAGAAAAACTCGGCGCATCCAATGATACCAAGACCATTTCAATTGGACAGTCCAACACCAAGATATTTGAGTTCAAAGTTAGATTGCCAATGGCAAAACGGGTGGAGCGCATATCAAGTGTCCAATAACCAACTTTAAATGCGTTTTTCTTGAATTTTTATAGGCATGGAGTAGAATTGAAAAAGGTGTTTCTTAAAATTTAAATTTAAAAACTTTAGCCTTGGCTTGACTTAGAAAATCGGAATAGCCGAGCTTTTAGCTCCAGGTTTACGGTCATCAAAACTTGACGTACCTACAAAAATGACACTTCAAAGCCAATTCATTGAAATGATTTACCCTTAAAAAGCCCACCCAAATTCCTCATTTCCAGACCGATTAATAAGACA